TTAGCATTCCATTTTTCATCGGCCTCACTCGGTGAGAAGGATAGAAATGAAATCAGAGCGAAGCGAAGAAACACGAAGACAGATGTCAGTCGACCTATATTCGACGTAATAACGTGCGATATCAAACAAAAGCGGATTTATATGCGACGCGCTAAACAAAATTATTTCCCGTACACTTTAACCATTGCGACGATGGAAGGTCGATGTAGCGCGATTAATCCGCGAATTCGCGCAGGTAAGTACAATAACGCGCGATAATTCTAATGAATGACATTCTTGCCTAAACGCGACGTCGCGTAATATAATTCGGGGATTAATAGACGGCTTAAAAATAGAACGACTTGAATATCGCTAGCGCCGCGAGTATTTCAGGTTCTCGCACAGTGTGCCGCGAAAATCCCAAATCTCGTAATAAGTTACATAAATGCGTGTGGAGTAAGGTAATTTTGTAGTCATTTGTTTCTACATTCAGGTGAATAATAAGACAATGAGCTAGACATGCGGTGTACACTGTGCAGATCCGACTGTATAATAAGTGCACACTTATGTCAACGTAATGTTAATGTAATATGTACTTTTTAACATATTCCTCACGTTAAAGTAACACAAAATTTGGTCCAAATTTCAAAAAAATTTTTACCAAAAGTCGACTGTTTTCAGTAAAACATTTTTTACTATGTAAATTATACGTTTTAAATGTACAATTTAATACGTAAACGTATACACATCTAACTACATAAAGTAACACAGATGAAGCATGTAAATGAAAGATGTGTGAAGACAAAATAATGAGCGTAAAAATTTGTAATTAGTCTATACGACTTTGCACATATAAGAGTGGAAAAATTACCCACTTGGATTTTCAGTGTAATCTCGCAACGTTGTACGCGCATTTTTTGCTCGCGATCTTGTCGCGAGAAAGATTAATACGTCTCTTTAATACGTCATTGACTTTCGTAATCCGCGATAAGAAACTGGAAGGTTCGTTTGATTTCAAAACTGAGGTCGGCCGATAAGAGCTCTTTAGGGGTCTCAGATGAATTCGTCCCGACGCGAACGTCGGACGGTAAATAAGTCGGATGTTCATTAAGTACGAATTTACGTTACGAGAAGAGCGACATTTTTCATATGAAAGAGTCGACTACAATGATAAGGTCACTTCGCAAAAGTCCCAACGTTGCTGCTACAATCCTGTCGGCGAAATGAAATGATCGCGCGCTAAAGGAAATCACGCAAAGTACCATCGTGCAAAATAAAAGCCGCGAATCAGCGAATCGTGCTTGGAATATTTCAAATAGCCTTTCCATTTCACTTTGCGCAACGCCTATCAAATATGATAATCGATGTCATGAAACGGTCGAATCACCGCCGCCTCATCGTCATCCGGATGTGAGAAAGAGACCAAGGGATACTCAATAACCACTTTAACTGCATCGAAACCCTGTGTGTCACGAGATACCATTATCGACTCCCACACGAACACTATCATATCGTGTGATACGAAATGTAACTTCACGCGCATACACTATAACAATGGACAAGAAGAACCGGGGAATCACGTTGCGTAATTCATCTTCGCATGATAAATTCCGAGATTTCTCAGGCATTCCATAAAATCGACGAGTAACGACATTGATTGTTGAACATAAATAATGATCGTCTTATTCAACTAAAAATAAAATCGCCGGACGTTTGTTTAGCTAACCCCCCTCACCTAATGCCTAAAAAAATGATTTGTAAAAATGTATAATTACGCCCTATTTATGCATTTTTCGAAAATGAAACACAAAAATTTTGCACTCTATTAGTTACGGCAGAAAACAGAATTTTTAGCGGAGGAACTAGGTGGGTAATCTTTCAGCGATTCTCTTTTGCAAAAATTGTGAAATATTGACAATTTTGGAAATTTAATTTTTAAAGAAGAATCCGCCGCGATGCATTGAAGCTTCGTTTCGTTTCGAATAAAGAACCATTATTTGTCGCTCAATGTCAAGCGGATTCTACTTCGACGGAACTTTAAATGTAAGGCTTAAAGTTGCCGAGGCATGATATCGAAATAAGTATGACAATCTTCCGCGACACGATTTTTATCCGAGAAAAATCCACGTTCACGGTAGATTCATCGAAGAATCCGCACATAAAATATTCCGCGCGTGCGAACCACTCTGACGTACACCCCACGCGGAGATAAAAATTTATCTTACTCTTGGATGAGCGCGAGAGGACCGCGTATGTAGTAAATGGGTCACAATTGCATCACACGGCGAGACGCGAGTTTCAAACGATGATTCTAATAATACGTCGTAAGAGACATGTAGTTCTCAAATTGTACACATAACTTGTGCGCCAAAACTTTTTTCACTGGTCGCCGTCCAACGTGCGTCAAATTCGTTCTACAATTTTGTGGAATGTTGTTTCCCGATAAACAAACACGCAACATGTATTTTTCTTTCCAATATGTTATCATTATAACTGTAAAAATATTGTCCATATTCGGTTTTTTTCTTTCACTTACACACAAAAAGAATATTATGCATAACCGTTTCTTTTTTGTATAAATTTTTTGCAATTTCGTGATGTTTTCTAGTAGTGCAAAAATAGATTATCAATGCGCTGAGAGAAATCCTACTAAAATCACAGTCCGATCTCGACTGCACATTCTCGTTTTAATTAAAAAAATAATAGCAATGTACACAAGAAAAATCTGAGTGTGATAAGTATACGTAAACTTATGGAAAATTACACTCAGTGTGAAATTTTCCCAATGTGTATCAATGCGAAGATAAATATTTGCGACACTTGTCTCACGATAGCAACCATTCGCCGACGCAGATTATTTGGCCGCCCATTTTCGGTCGTTTTTAATTCCCGTCGACTGAAATGGAAATCCCGATAGCAATATCGCGTCACGAAGAATTCACGAGCACTGCTCGGTGCGCAGAGAATCGCTCGGGAAAGAGAGTATTCGGAGCCTCGGGGAGATTTGCGCGTTTAAGGATCGCGATGTGCATTCGCGCGAATCCGCTCGCCTCGTTTCGCGAGCTCGGCTATGACTGAACGGAAGTGCAGAATTCCTGCCGTAACGACACGCCTGGAGGCAGGAAGTAACAATTCACTTGCGCTGTTATCATTGTAATCGTCCGCTTATGCGGAGTACCAGCTCAAATCGCAGCGTAATCGGACCCGCGATCGCAAAACCTGCGAGAACAACAAAACGCGGATCGTACGATACTCTGGGACTTATACTTGTTTCTACCAATTTCGATTTAATCTGTAGTTTATACTGAAACTTGGATTAAAATGAAACATCGTTTAAAGAGTGAGTGGTGCTGATTGGTTTTTACCAATATTGCATCCGGCACATTTAACTAAACTTACAACTCGTGTGTGATATAACTCAATAAATTACGAACATCGAATGTTGATCGATTCAATGTTCGCTTAAACATTATTAACATTATTATGTTTTTAAAGTTGTATGTTCTAACGAATAATTTCATAGCAAACACATGTGAGCAAAATTCCTAAGGCTTTTCTATAAGAGACGTTTTTTCATTTTTTAATAAAATGTAATTTTACCCATAATAAAAATGTAATCTAGTTTTAGGTCTATCCAAAGCATGTAACCCCTTAACGGTAAACGTGCGTGACCGAGATGGAATGTCGGATACAGGTACAACTAGTCACCGGCAAACCGCGGAGGTGTACAGTCAAAGGGATTAACGAGATCGAGAGTGAGGGTTGCGGCTTAGTCCCGGTGACCTCGAAACCGAGCCGGAGAGTCTCTAGGATCGATATTCGCACAGCGCCGTTCGCTCTAGCACGATGCAGATGTCTGTCATTCGACCGTTTTATTCGCCGCTAAATCCGCCGTGGAACACCACGTCATGCGACACGAAGAAGCAGCCGTCGAAGACCGAATCGGCTTTTCGATTCCTTCGCGCTTCTCGCACTTCTCACGCTCTCTCACGTTCTCTCTTTTCACGCATTGTCGCATCTGCTATGCGTCGGGGAGAGACGCATCCCCGAGGAAGCAGAAAACGTGAAGACTTGGAACGTAAGAGGGATCGAATTAGCGAGCGACTACACTGAGAGAAATTATCATGATTTTCAGTCAATCAATTTTTATGATCTTAATCACTAAAATTGTACATAAAAAAAAGATAAATTCAAGGCTCATACGTAAGTAAAAATATATAGTCCTATATAAAGATCAAATTTGAAGAAATGCCACGAACACTTGCTAGAAAAATGGTTCTCTCCGACAATAATTCTTTTACTACAGCACATAGTTACAAATTCCAGATATTTTTCTCTCATTGGTAAACGGGCGACCAGCACAATGCTTTTATCGATCTTCCCTTCGCGCATTCGTTAATTTCTTACTTTTGTTATACAACGTTTTGGAATGGAGAGAGTTTGGATCGCGCTCCGGAAGCAATTGATAACATTATAAGCTCTGCAATGAGCTACACACAGAGAACGTTGTGTAGTAGAAATTGCTGCAAAATTTGGTTACTGAAAAACGGTACTTTTAATTTTAATCGAATGTTAATCGCTGTTCGGGCGATACAAACCCTGCTTCTGTCGAAAACACGAATAAATAGGAAATAAAACATGTATTCGTAGCCGATCGAGCGATGTTCTACGTTGATTCCAATTACACACCTTGAATCACAAGAAACAGCCGCGCTGTGATTTGACATTCAAACTTGTGTACGTTCCAATTTGAAAGTCAAGCGTTTCTAAGAAACAAGAAAAATGAGTGTATTCGGAACTGTATATGCTAAACATTCGGCTGAGAGAGCTCCTCGGCGTCCTCAGGGAGACTCCGTACGCGACGAGAGCTTCGGAGAGCATGCGACGGGAGAAGAAGCGCTGGCGATGTGGAAGTCGCCGTCCAGGGGTGGCGCACCGACGACGCGGTACCGTCACACGCATACACACACACATTCGTTCGCGCGCATTAACGAAGAAAATCATCAACCAGACTTACCCACCTCTTGGCAGGACGCTCGAACGACAAGCGAGTCCCTCAACATTCCCAGGAGGAAGTTTACCTCGAGCCTTTCCGTCACGGATGATGGTCGACCTTTTCAGGGCTGCAGAAGGAGGGGGAGAGGGGGGAGGGAGAGGTGTAGAAACGGGAACGGTGAGAGAGAGAGATAGGGTGGTCGGCTGATCTCGGCTGGTCTCTACGGCTGACGGCACTCTCACAGGCAACACTCTCTCGTCGCACTCGCCACGACAGGGCAGGCACTCTGTTCGCGGTCGGTCGTTCAGTCAGTCGTCCGGCGGGTGGGTCGGTCGGTCAGTTGCACACGATTCTTCGCGACGGAGGAACCGCGGAGTGTCAATCTATCGACGGTGTACGCTCACCCAACCTTTAAAAACACCGTACAGGGCGGAAGCTGCCATGCTACTGCCCAACCGACCAATCGCGTAGCGCCATCTCGCCGCGCGCGCAACTGCACGACGAGGCTCTCCTGCTGGAACAATAGCGTTCCACCTGAGATCCCTTAATTGCACCCCTTGCACTTCGTGACTTCCTCTTGCGGTCGAAGCCAGCGAGGTCGAAACAAGATACAACGATACTTTCAACATAAGAACGAATTTAATCTAAATGTTATAATTCTATAAATAATATGTCATAATATCATCGTATATGCAGACAATATTCTGAACTCTCTTTTATCGATAAAAGTACATGTTATTTTTAAATTAGTTTTATTATTTCTCTATATCTCTTATATATTTCTTATTACCTTACGTTTTCTTTTGTGTCTAATGAACGTAGTTAAGGACGTTTTTTTTCACAGTACATATCGAAATAGGCCGAAGTGCTGCTTTCAAGTTTCTCTCTGGCATAATAAATAATAAATATGAGATATATATCATTTTATTCCGTTACGATCGTTTTATTTCGCCTGTGTGAATTCATTATTATTATGCAATAAAAGTGTCTTTCTATTTTTACTGGAAGTGTATATGAAACTTCACATGTGTGTGTGTGCATTTATGCGCAAAACAAATACGTTCATAACAAAAATTAACAATAAGGAGAAATATCATGCACGCGTGTTGATCGTAATATAAGTCTGTACACCGTGTTTCTCATCCACGGAAATTATGTAGCTCGGACACACACCAAATGGAGACTGTATCGGCAGTGCCAGAAAATGAACACAGCGAGATAGTTCCGTCTGAAAATGTGCGCATGTGGCGTATCAAACAGTCATAAAAAGCAACATAAAGAAAACGCGTGGGCGTTCTCAAGTTTATCTCTGATAGATCTTAAATTTGGGTTTAATGCGACTTGCAACTTGCGTTTTGCGTCTTATGTAGATGGGCTTTTACGCATACAATATCTTGAGATTTAAAAAGTGGAAATTTCTATTATTTATTAGTATTTTATGTACTCTTCTTTTAACGAAAAATGTAGTTATACAGAATCTATATCCTTCTGTAACGCAGTTAGCGGAAATACATAAATGTCCAGTGTGTTATGGAGTGTCTGCCTGTCACGATATTCACAAAGTAATTTTCTCATGGCACGATGTCAGTACAATATTTCTTCATTTACTTGGAGTTAAAAATGTATTCTTTGGTACATATAATCAAAACAAGGTAGTGTTGAAGAAGCTGGCGCATTCCTCTGAACTGGAAGCATTTGACGTTTTCTTCTGTGACAAACTCCACCTAAAATATCCTTGCTCAAATGTCTCTAAGAAGAAATTAAATAGACATGCAGCAAATTTTGACAATCTTATCAAAGAGACTATTACCTCTGATTTTTTTAAAGATGATTCTAGTCGCTTGAGACTCTGTCCATCGACGCAACATATAGATGATCTATTTCACAATATATATCTCAATTATAAATACACCGATTCTACGGAATATTTGATTCATCTCTGGATGTTGCTTTCTATTAATCCAGAACCGCTAATCCTCCAGGTGAATTATAAATAGATGCAAAAATTAACTGTTATCTCGTTTCAGTTGCAGAAAAGTCAACTAATGTTAGATGATATTTACTTTGATTGAATTTCCTATAACTGTATAAGAATAAATACTATGAAATGTACAATTACGTATGTTCTGAATTGTTATTCTTTCTAGATATTATCTGTTGAAAATGGTTGGCCTGTACCAAAATATTTCGGAGCTTGCGGTCGTATTATTATAGAGGAATATGTTGGATTACCTCTTACAGATTATTACAATAAACCTTGGGTGCAAAGAGCAAGAATAGCTTCAAGTCTTTTAGGTGCCGCTCACATGTTTACTTTCAAGAATCAGAACTTTGGTTTTTACTTAACGGATGTATCAGCCGATAATATTGCCGTTGATCATGAAGATGTAGCAAAATTTATCGATTTAGAAAATATCATTATTGTTGACAAAAATATCCCTCCAAAAAGTAAAAGTTTTTTATAAGATGACTTATAACTTAAAATAAGATAAAAATACAATACACTGACACGATATTAATTTGCAGAACGATCAAAAGATTGGCATGAATTGCAAGAAAATAGACTGCATCTTGATTTTCCTAACTACTTTGCATTCTCTTCCAAGGATATTTGTAATCGTCATTTAAGTGATCATAATTACTACGCGATTTGTCAGGTAGTCAATATGATAATATTGAAATATGAAATATATCTCGCATCTTATCATTGGGGTCGAGTAATCTCATATAGTCAAAATAAAAAAATGCAATTGCAGCTCCTATTAGGTGTAGGAAATGAAAACCCATTTCCTGGTGGATTTCTTCACGACATACCTATTCGATGGCAAACTAGAAATGTTGAATATCTATTACAACAGTGCGCTGTTCCTAATTCAAACGATTCTAGGATAATTTTTGGTCAACGACTCAAGACATCTTTGGATACGTTATTGAGAGAACTATCTTAACACAAACATGAAATTATATTAAAAAGAATAAATGGAGTTAAAATTGAATTTAAGATATCTTTTATACCTATAATGTATCAAATTACGAGAAAATTAATCACAGATAGAATTAAGTAATTAAATCTCAGAATTTAACATTTATTCAATAAAGCTCAACTTCCTGTTACATATTGACGTTTAGAGGAATTAAATATAAATTTTATTATGACTGTAAGAGAACATATGAATGATAAATGTGAAGAAATGATATATATATATATATATATATATAACAAGTATTATTAAAGTTTTGCATATATATGAAAAGGTAAATATTACGTTGACTCGAACATGCCAACACCCAGCAGTAAATTTCTGCGTGAAAAATGTAACGTCAGGATAGATGTATTTTTTGTAGGGAAAGTACGCAGCAAATATGATTCAGAGTTGGTTCTCACATCCGGATTGTGCGATACGTTGACGTCTTCCAAGCTCATTTCTTCCGCCAATTTGGTGAAATCCCATAATCTTACCGTATAATCCAAAGAACCTGACAAAATAGTGATACATTGTTGAAATTTGTTCCAACTAACTCATACAATTTGAAAAGTAAACAAAGTATGTACCCGAGACTAGAATATTGCCATCGCGACTAAAAGATAGACATTCGATATTGCCTGTATGTCCCGATAATGCCGCGACAAGATGACCATGCGCCAAGTCCCATACTAATACACGATTGTCGGTACCAGCTGAGGCTAAGAATCGTCCTTCCGTTGAGAAAGCTAGGGAATAAATGGGCCCTTTGTGTCCTGTCATCAGACGGACTTGACTGCCGGTTACGCAGTCCCATAATCTCACAGTGTTGTCGCTTGAACCGGTCGCAACGTAATTTGAATTGGGATGAAATTGGACTACCTGAAAGATATATCATTATTTCAATTCAATAAATCGATTGATGACATCAATAGAGGGATATTTATTAACCCACATTAATGTCCGAGTAGTGACCGGCGAATATTCGTAATGGTTGATGCGAATCAGTTGCCCACAGTCTAGCGGTTCTGTCGTACGAAGCACTAGTGAAGTAATAGCCGTGTGGTGAGAATTTTACGCACCACACAGGAAATAAGTGGCCTTTGTAGCAGACGACGCATGTCCATGTGTGAAGTGACCATAATCTTACTAAAATAGTTATTGCGAATTATCGTATCAGCCTTTTACAGTAGGTTGTTATGTAACAAATCGGATATCAAATGAGTGTAGAATTTATAGGAGTTTTTTTTATGATGTCAAGCATGTTTGCATAATATAGCAAATAGCAGACAACTGCTATTTCTTTACGATATAAATCTTACTTGTAGCATCCTCCGATGATGAGAGTAAGAGATTTCTATCTGGACTAAATGAAAGACTATAGACTGGTCCACTGTGACCATACAGATTCCTAGCACTCTCGGAGGTGCGCTCATCCATCATTCTAACTAATACATCATCTGTAACGTTTTTTTACAATAAGTAGTTTGAGACAATATATGACTGATGATAGATTTATTTCTCTACAATTTTCGCACATTACCTCGCTCCCTATCGATATCTTGCAATTCTTCGCCTGTTTTCATTAGTCTCAACTTCTGTGGGATCAAACTCCATACTTTTATTCCAGAATCACGAAATCCAATAGCCAATAAACTTGAGTCCTCTGACACTTCCGCTGATGTCACACTAAATAATTATAACAATTGTAGTTATAAGTGGACATTGAAGAAATCATTTAATTGCATAGTCTTACGTATGAACTGCGTTCATCAATGTATAGAAACATATAGATGGTAGCGTATCGGGTCCAACGATAACTCTTTTTGATGCTTCTCTTAAAGCCTTCACTTTTTCCAGTTTATCCACATCTTTTCTGAATGACAAATATACGATTTGTAAGGAAATCAAAAATCATCATTAATCATTATTAGAGCACACAAATACATCTGTCTTACAGATTAGGTAATGGCATTCTGCCCACAGGTGGTGCGTTTGGATCTGATTTAGTCTTCTTTGAAAATAAAGGATCCTTCTTAGCTTTTTTTTTCTTTGGTTTGTCTCCATCTCCACCACCTGTATCATCTTCCTCTTCTTCGGCAGGTGGTACGCACTGAATATCTGGCTCCTTCAGAAGTCCATAATAAACCTTGGCTTTATTATCTACGCAATAACTTCAATGATAGACAATTCTTCTCTATAAGGTATAAATTATCTAACTATTCTCTACAAGATATTTCATGATCTTTATTCCCTCTTTCTTGTCATTATTCTCCCTCTTATAATGCGACATAATTGTTAATTGATTTCTTACCTTGTCTAGTAGCTTCTTCCTTTTGATGCGACAAATTAATTGGTCTCTTACCTTGTCTAGTAGCCTCTCCCACTGTAGCTCCAGATGTTGCATCAATCTGTTGTTTATTACGAGCAACACCTTCATACATATCAAAATAAAGGTGTTCTTGTATGATATTTAACAAAACACTGTGTTTCTTTTCTTGCAAATGTCGCTTTAATATAGAAAGGGTATCCCTTGACATTCTTATTATAAACTGATTAGATCTGTAAAAAAATGAAGATGCCTTCATAAGTTGTACAAACTATATGAAATAGATTATATTATTTATTATTACACTTACTTAAACGTGTCAGTTAATTCATTACCCGCCATTTGTTCACGTTTTGTTACATTAGATAATCGTTTCAAATCATCTTGATAATATTCTTCCAAACTTCCACGAAATTTCTCCATGAGTTGTTTTGCTTCTTCAGGATGATTATTGTAGACTAATTCTACATACATATGTACCAAAACTGGATATAGTATGGTACCCAATTCATGCTACATTATTGACATAATATATATGCGTTACAAAACATTAGAATTATTAAAAAATATATACAAATTATTTTATTACCAAAAATATTTGATACCAATTGTAACTCTAGCTTACTTTATAAATGTCCAGAGCTCCTTCTACAAACTTTTTCAATTCACTGTATGCTTTTTCATATAATGCTGGGTCTCCTTCGCTTTTGTAAGCAGAAAGGACGCTGGTTACCTCGGAATCAGTTTGTTGAGAATCTTCAATTGAAACATCTTGAAGATTGGCTTCTTTTCTAAACAATTCTTCAGTACTCTAAAGAAACACCATGTTAATTACTACATCCAATCATATATATATAGAAATCAATTATACTTCTAAAAAATAATATACTCATAGACAGGTTATGGCATTTCTGGAAAATAAAAGAAATATTGTATGATTTACCTTTAAATTATACTTTTTCAGAAGCTGCAAAACAGCAAGCATAGTATTTTTATCGTTATCCATATTTATACAATTATATTATCAGTAATAAGCCACAGATTATTTTCACACGATATACAGTAAGTGAAAATAAACGCCAGCAATAGTTTCGACACTAAACGGAAAGACTTCTGTCCAATGTTCTCAGTAATGCAATCGTATCAGATTCAATACAATCAGAGGGAATCTTTAGAGCACCCAAGCCGGTGTCTCATTTGATATTGTTGTCCACAACTGTTTGATATGCTATTTGCACATATGTTTAAAGGAGAATTCACACCTTGACAAAAAAGTAGAAAGCAGGAAAACAGTAGCCAATCAGAACTCGCGCTGGCAGTAGGCAGTAAATGAAGCAGACGGCTGCCAGCGTGAATTCTGATTGGCTGCTTTCTGCCTTTCTGTCAAGGTGTGAATTCTCCCGAAGACGGATTTTGACGCGCTCATTTGAGTTACATTCGGAAACACACAATGAATGCTACAGATGAGCAAAATCATCGATGTTTGAAAAACATTGAGGTTCGCTTATTGAGGATGGTATTACATCTAGAGAAAATGTTAGGGACTCTAGAAATCCTTTATCCGACAGCCAATCGTCATTAAATAAATAAATAAATCCTAGAAAGCAGTCTATATTTTCCATATAAATCTATAATAAAATATATAACACAAAAATATATATCTTTTTGTCTTCTTAAAGATAAGCATAAATCAAGAACAAAAAAGTAACAAACTGCATAAAATGTCCCTAGTAATCGAATAGTTATAAAGTATATTATAGTATATTCATCTTAAGATCTTTTTATTTTAGTTGTGCTCTCTTCATGAGCTTGCAATTCATTGTTTACCGTGCAATTCAACCTCACAAAAATACTTATTTCAACTTAAGGGGAGGTTCCAAAGGAAACATAACATAGTACAGCTAATAAGATTTCTCATATAAAATTATGACATAAAATTATCAAGATGCTGCATTTATAATGTCTCTAAGACTTCTTTGAAACCTTTGACATTGAAACATTTAAATAATATCACAATTTTATTTTAACATTAGAAAAGTATATACATTTTATTGTAGGCTTAACTCCTGCCTCTTCCAGCCTGAGACCCACCAGGTTGACCTTGTTGATTAAGCCAAGGTGCGGAGCCAGTACCTTTGCCTCTTTGATTCTGTTGTCCTCTTCCTCTACCGCGAGCTACAACAGTTTTATTTATTTTGTTTTCATGCACATTTGCAAAATATATCACCTTCATACTCAAAAACAACTTAATCTGTAAGAATAAGTTCCGATTTTGATAAAGTATCTATTAAATATTTCTGAATCTTCCTGCAACGAAAAGTTTCCTTTACAAAAAATACCCTGCCTGTACGAACCTTGAGCGCGTAGTATAGCAGACTTTCCTCTGCCAGCAGTGCCGGAACCTTTGCCACCTGGTCGTTTGAACATAGGCGCGTTCTTCAGCATGTCCGGTAGTATAAGAAATCGTATCTTCGAACCGCGTATGTACACGTTCTCCAGCTGAGCGACTCGGCCGTCCCGATAAGTCACTGTTATGTTTTGCATCTGACAGTTCATGTTGTCTTCGGCCTCGATAAGCTTGCCGCGATACACCTCACCAGTGTTCGTTTCGCAGGTTATGATGTGACCCTCGGCCTCGTGAAGTACTTTGATGGGTACGCCAATCGACATTTTGAATTTCGTATGGAAAACTTACTTCACCTTCGGTTATATTTCTGCGAAGTTTCTCGTCGCGATTTATGCCTTAGAAAAATATCACAAGTGACGCGTTTATACACACACCGGGCGCAATCAAGCGGTGAATAAACAAGATGCCACAGATGGCATCAGCTGCGTTCAGAAGCCAGCATTAAGTGACTATCGGTTGCGTTCAGCAGAGAAAAATACTTTGGAACTGCTGCAAAATTCGTGAATCTGATTGGTATATGCTTTTAACTTAGTTGCATCTAATGTCTGTGATTGGAATATATTTTCAGATTTTTTGTAAATATACCAATCAGGTTTAGAATTAATCAAAAGTAACCAGAAATATACACCAATCAGAAGCAATAATCACTAAACGCTATTTTTTAGCAAAATGCAGCTAATTAAGATTACGTTCGGAAACATATACTGTGTGCACATCTTTAGAAACTAGACGTTCGGAAAATACTGAGTGTGGTTTAATGTGCATTCGTGTGTCATCGTTTGAAAACATTTCGAGAGTCATGCTGAGTTCCACTAAACCACTTAACGAAAAAGCAGGAGAAGTCGATGTGAGTTGACACGTTATTATCTAATCACTTGTGTAATAAATTTGCAGATGAGTAAAAAATGTCAGAGAATGTCAATTGCTTTTCATTTGTAAATTTTTTTCTTAAATCTAACAAATAGTATGTATAATTGTTCTCACTATTCTCCCATTTCTTTCATTGTTATTATAGAGTTAGAATAATTCAATAATTTGCAGACACAGTAATCAATTAACATAAATTTATTTTTTAACGTCAAACTATTATCATATATATCATGATTCTTAACTAAAAACAGCATAAAATTTCCATTATATATTATAAACATTTTGATTTTTCATCAATATAAATAAATACAAATACACATATGAAGCTTTTTCTACCGCTTCACATTTGTTTTATTCACAATTCGAGCGTTCATTTCAGTTATAATATACAATTATAATTACGTAGCATATGTTATTAAATACAAAAATGTGTATTAAATTCGAATTATGTACGTAGGAATCACAAAATTTTTATCAAATTAACGATTTAGTCGTGCAGTTAAAACCAGATATTCCGTAATTTCATTCTGTTTATTTAAACAAAAACCTTCTCAGACTTATCTCTCATCTACCAAAAGCAAAGAGAAAATTCAAAAATCAGAAATAATAGAGTACAGTACAAAGCAACACTTAAGTAACATACATGTATGAGAGGAAATCAATTAGAATAATCAGTCTTGATGAAATTCCTGCTTTCCTTATCATTTAGCACGCTACGTAAAATATGTGAACTGTAATTATTTATATAAATATCTGAATAAGCGCTAAACTATAACACATTAGAGAGAGGGAGAGAGAGAGGGGGGGGGCAGGGAGGGAGAAGAAATGAGTCTTATGCAATACAATATCGACGTGGCCGCTCGTTAAAATAATTAATGTCAAGATGAATAGCAAACAACTCGGCAGACAATGACGAAAATGTTCGAAGTGAATCGCTTCAGAAAGCAGAGGCGGGATCCAGCAGATCATCGCTCACAATCGGATTTATTATTATTGTCGCCGAGTTATCGTAGTAACCGCTCGATATTAATCGTACCGACGTCACTTCGTACGGCACGAATTCTTTTATATCTGGAAATGGAAAGGTGGATCGTTAAATTTTACAGGGATGGAAAAGCGTTCGCAACACATTCATCAAATTGTACAGCATTTTACAGTCAATGAATAATATAAGCATGCACATCGCAGAAATGACGGAGAGACTGCAGAAATCTGAAATTATTATCGATCTACCTCCGTGGCTTTAATTCGATGTAAGAAAGATTTATCACCTGGCTTGGAATCGATGCCGCAAATGGAGTCAATTACGTCGAGTTTCATTGTATCCAGGCCGCGACTGCCTCCGATCTCCAATTGATCCCGCGGGTTCTTTGTATCGCACTAAAAATAAATCGCAATAAATCCGCTACGCATCGACCGTGGGACTTGCGTTATTATTTCGACGCACGGTATTTAATGAATTAATAGCAAAATGGCACGCGAACTTTCAAATATTTATGCGAAGAAAATAAACTCTATATGAAAATTTCGTGCCATATCGTAATACCTTGACTTTTTCGACGAATAAATTTCTACGATAGAAGAAAAGGCATACATATCGAATAATATGCATAAATAAAATTTTTTCCAAGATTTTGCCGCGGCTCAGAGATAAAATGTGTTTAAAAAGACACGAGGCTCATAACAACCACAAGTCACGGTCGAGAAAGAGAAGGGATTTACAACGTACTTTATGTAAGGTGCCGGTCTCGGTCGTGTGAACAACGCTCTGCGAACTGCTACCGCCGACTCCGAGCGCAATTACTTGTACGGCGCCGGGATACATTGCCATGAGGGTGCAGTTAATCCGTCTACCATAATTGCGGAGCGTAAACGGATCCGTCGTACTGACCGACAAGATATTGCAGGCTATAAAAAAAAAAAGAGAGAATAAAGCCCTCGTCAGATGATACTTGCTTTCGTATTAACTCTTAGTATGTGAGCTACCATGCTAGCTTGTGGAGGAAAATGGCTAGTATGTATGCACACGGAATTGGTCCCGAATGCACAGCACGAACTTGTGTGCGATATGGGAGCCATCTTCTTCACATGCATGCTGGTTAACACGAAAACAAGTATCTTGTTTGACGAGATCTTAAGTCAGTAAAAATTCAATAATCGTGTCCATCGCCAACAAATAAATGGTTGTCCCTTGTTAGGGTGCATTTTTTTTTATTCCATGCGAATGGATGTTTCAATTTATCAGAGTGAATTTGTCTCCGTAACGATGGAATATACTAGATTCGCTCTCAGTTTCGAGTGAAAGTATTCACTCAACGACTCAGTGCAGAATTTATTTACTGGAAAAATCATTCGAGACTCAGTGACTCGATTGTCACTTTAAGAGTGAAATTTCATTCCAAAAAATATAGGAAACTCGCCCAAACCTTATTATATACTTACGTCTCGAATTTTTCGGGTATCTGGCAGATATGACGAAACCCTTGTTGCGCATCGGTATTCTGTATTGAAGAACCGCCGCGTTCTGCGAACTCGTGAAGGTTTTCCTGTACCACCTGCTTTTACCGCAGAATTCGTTCACTCTGTCTTTTATCGGTAACGAATGGTCGGCCTCACTCGGGAATATTTCGCCGTCCATTTCCCAGCCGTCGATTACCTGTTTAAGAAACGATCAATCATCGGGAACTTGTTCTATCTCGTCGAATTTTTTTCGAGAATTTATTCGTCATGAGAACATGATGTGAAAAATCAAATGAGAAGTAAATATCACACGGGCACACAGGATCGGACAGAAAATTGTTGAAATTCGGGCTACAGTCGTAACGATGTTGTTGTTACAAAAATATAAGAAAGTTACATCCGTAGTACATCGCAAACATACACACATGTCGAGTTCACGTCGGAATTTCACCCCTGCCATTATAGACCGTTTGCCCTCGGAACGTTGACTTCTATGCATTCGCGTGATACACCACCACCGTGGGATCTTACTTCGGGTTAACCTTACAGGGGTTTTCCATTAATAGCAAGAGGGCGAGCGCGCGAGAGCCGGGGGAAACTTCACGATTCGATTTGTGCGTAAAATTTTGCGCATGCACCGTGACAATTCGTTTAAGTGACACGGAATCGACGTGGTTTCTTCTAAATATTGGGACTCCTTTTGTTGTCGACAACAAACAAATAGCAATCTGCTATGATCGCAAATAAAATTTGACAAATCGACGGATTCGGCAGATTCAAGAACAACCGACGATTATACACACCGCAAGAAGTCCACGATGATCGCAGGGCACGTCGAAACTGTGAAAATGTATCTCCACCGTGCGGTCTGGATCGGTTAAGAAGTATATGCCGCAAACGACTTCGTCATCGGACCGCGATACATAAGTAAACGGTCCGCTCTCTGAAGTGACAAACATGCAATCTGCAACAAGACAACTAGTAAGATTGATTGAAATGTTTCATGTGCGAGAATTCAAAATAATTCAAAAAAAGGAAAAAAGCAGGAAAGAAAGAGAAAAAAATTCATCTGCGATTCTAAGAATGCTATGAATTGAATATAACAGAAAAGTACGAATTTAGATGTAATCAGCATGCGATCGAAATTCGAAATATATTCACAGAGAAACGATTGTTGATATAATATAACAAGTAGTATATATATATATATATATATATAATGTGAAAAATATACTGATATACTAATACTAATTTGGCTATATTGCTGCGGAAACTATCTTCCATCCATTAACGCGACACTGCAATTTGTGGAACGAGGGAATTATCGCTTATATAACAAACGCTTCAATTACGAGGCTTACGGGCGCATGATACGCGCCCGCGCATTCGAAACACCTGCTCCATATGCATATCTACTTTTACGTGTCTTACGATGGATTAACGCGATTACGCGTAATGGACTTTCCCAGATAGAGATTACAAAAGATATATATATAAATTTACAAATTTTCTCATTTGAAAAAAATGTTTACATTGCAAGGAGATAACGCGAATCTTGAAATCAAACGATGAACGATGAATAGCTCGATAATGTGTATGCAGAGCAATGAAAACCTTAAAGGGGTTTGAATAGATGGGCCTTTGTTTCCTTTTTGTCCGGTTCATTTCACTTGCGAGTTGTAACTACTTTTAATTACGCGAGCAATCGCGACGTCACTCATCGAACGTCGCAGCACAACCCGACGGAAGCGAAAGTATCGATCGTGCTCGTTTTTTTTCCGAACATGAAACAAATATCAATATGATTACTCGTACTACTCACCTGTAATTGGTCGGTAATGTTCGCGAGGTGTGTCGAGCAAATTCTTCACTCCCATTTCATAAGCCAAGATATTGGCGGCATTATTTGATATCTGAAATAAATAAATAAAAGACGATATATGCTACGTTGACAGAAAAATTGTCTTAATTTTAGTAAGCGTGTTTATTAAAATTATACTAAAATTATATTAAGTAAATGATATTTTAAATATATAAAATTTCTTTATTAAGGAGAGAATTAAGAATTAATGTTATTATAATATATTATTATTATTATTTATCATACTAAATCTGGAAGTTTTTGTTCATACATTTTAGAAAAAAATGTCTTAGTAAATATTTATTAAAATTCCAATTTCGAATAAAACATTCATCTTTGCGATTCCGATTTGGCGATATTTTTATCGTCGCTTCGAGTAAATTTTCATTCGTTTTGAATGAAGTTTCAGCCGAAAAATTTAGAAAGTATCGAATTATCAAATTTTTCTTGTATCTCGATTTAAATTTAACAATTATTCTGCAATTAAAAATATTTTTTCTAAATATACACGCGATCGTAATATCGTTGATAAAACAATTTCAGTTTTATTAGGTAGTATTTTATTGCGACCGTTTGCTCACAGATCGAAGATGAAAGACTTGTATATTGGGTAAACTCCTCCGGTATTTCTCCTTCCATCTCAATGTGACAAGTTTCATTTAATATAATGGTCGTCATTAAATGTAACGGTTCGTCAAGTACATTCTGTATGCGTCTGTCTTTTACATTTTCCATTTCCTTCGCGCAAACCTGCGCAAATCATTCCAACGAGTTTTCTATTGCTTTCATATTACTTCGCCGGGCGATCGACCATGTGATTTTTATTGATTGCAAAACGGAAGTTTGTTATTTCAATTAGAACGCGCGATCATCGCTCGACTTATTCGTTACAATATACAAACAGCGTTGATTTTGCTTAAATATTTTGGTTAAGAACACGTTTCGCAAAATGGTCGCGATGATATGCAAAGTATCTCGCGAACTTTGAAACACCCGCTCTCAGCGGAATTAGAGAGAAATATTTAAGAACACTTACATATTTATCGAATTTATCGATCGATGCGTGAAGAAAGAAAAGAAAAAAAACTGCCGAAGCGTCGTGACGTAATATTTGTTGTGAAATATAAATGTCTATTTATTAGGCTATAAATGGGATGAACGAGCCGTCAAAGCGGAACTAACACAGTACGTGGGATGTTCACAAAGAATCCCATTTTAATGCAATTCTCAATGCTATCCAATTTGTATTTGCCAGTCAGGTTTCAATTTTCAGAAACCCCGCAATGACGTTGCACGAAAGATGCAAAGGACACGAGATAATATTAACGACACCTTGCGCGTGGAACTTCTCTTAACAATATAGTATTGTGTCTGCTATTGTCCGTCTCTTCTTTCGCGATTCTTGCAACGCGAACTGTTATACCTCATCGGCTCGAACGGAAAAGAACGTGATTTCTTAACGCGCGTGTACCTTGTAAATGCAAATTGGAATATAACATAAAACATGATACGAGTGTTGTCCGTTACGTATGAAATTGCAACACACATAGAATACGTAATAAATGCGGGTTTATGAAGCAATTTTTCCAGGTGTAAATATAAATGTAAATATAAAGTTAGATAGATGTAAGTTTATCAGCTGAATCGCGCTTACAAATGTAACATCGCGTGTATAGATGATTCAAATAAAACGCACACGTACATACACATCGCTACGAGCAACTTTACACGTCGTTAACAATATTAATGCTGCGTCAATACTGCGGTGATATAGGATATAGTTCGGAGTTTCCATTCGACCGTTTTCAGTTTTTGAATTGATATAGATGCAAATGATGAGACAATAAAACTTTAAATGGCATTGCGATGGGAACGATCGGTGATTGTTACCAATGCGGTTTGTTAACGTTACGATTGACGCCAATTCTGAAGATTCTGCACTGAAATATTGGTGGATATATTATGATAAATCTTTATCACATATACCGAATGTTTCTTGAGCAACGAAGCATCGCGATTTGAGAAAATATTATCCACAACCTGCCTGTGCGTATTTATCTTCGGTAAGATTCACGATGAAAACGAGGAAAGGATTGTGATATTACTCTTGCTATTATAAGGCGCACTTTAAGAAACTGTAGTAATTAAACTTTTCTTTTTGACGCATGGTAACTTAATTCCGCTCACCTCTGCCTCCCTGTAAAAGGCAATGGCGAAAAGAAGAGTATAATCGAGTCAACTAGCGGCGAGTTATTTATTCAGAAACAGGCAACCAAAATTCATTAAAAGTTCGCAAATTATCTTATTCTAATTGCGTTAGTTGTAGTACAATTTAAAACTTGCGTTAGTTGTAGTACAATTTAAAACCCGAGTTCTTTTTCTTCTAATTTATTTTCAATTTGATGTCAGTTTACTTTATATTACGCGGCCATCCTTAACTCTCGCGGTCGTCCCCGCGTGACGATGATTGTATTTAATCATTGTTACATCTTACATTTTATATATTATATCCTATGTTTTTCATTTTTTAATCTCTACGTAAAAGAAAAAAATATCTAAAAATAAAAAAAAATATTTATTCGCAATACATGAATATTAATATATCAATATACATATTAGTACAAAATACTTACAGTAATACACACATTAGTGATAATATTTATACTAATACATATATTTTTATATTGAGAGAACATATTTTTTCAAGTGAAAAAATATATATTTTCTTAAAATCTTAACTTTTCATGAGAAAATAATTGTTTATTTTACTTATAAATAAAATTTTTTAGATTTAAGTAAATATGTTATTAGTATCTATCGGATATTTCTTTTATTTTTTAAATATATTTCCCTTCAATGTGGGTGTAATATAGTTTGAGAAGGAAGCGTAGCATAGAATAACACGGAGGGAAAATGTTCATGTAAGGAACATCATAAAAGTTGATAGATTTCTATCATAATAGGATGAGGAAATCACGAGACTTTTATATCAGAAGTCCACGTACGAGGCTATACATCTTGCACGAAAAGAATATCTGAAATTCAATTTAAAGGCGATCTCTCACTCCTTCGCTAGATAGTAGAAGAAACCTGATTTACATTTGTGCGCGTTGAATCGGTATGTATATATGAATACACGTATATAAAAAGGAATATACTGTAATCGCACGTCCCAGAACTATAAAAAAAAATATATTTTAGTCAAAAATATTAAAATTATGTATTCTAATTAACAAAACTGCTTTAAATTATGTCAAGCAACAAAAATAAACTACAATAGTCTACCTCGTTTTTCTGACCTTTCTGATCTTTATTATCGTCGAGTTTATTGGAAAAAAAGCATTTGTATCGCGATATATATGTCTTTGTTTGGGAGCTTCTGCTAGATAAAACATCATTTGAAGCAAAGCTTTTAACTGTTTAACTAAAATAATTGCTGTCAATATGTTTCAAATAAATCACAGTATCATAATATGAACTGATATATTTGTTCTAAAAGTCATAATATGAACTGATATATTTGTTTTAAAAGAAGAAACTTCACTCACGAGAAAATTCTGAAATGTTCGCGCTTAACGCGTTTTTTTCTCAAAACGCTGTATGAACCTTTTTATATAATGGAATATTGTAGGGAAAAAATTCCTCTTCTTGCCCGTCAAAATACGCGTTGAAAATGTCATATGCTTCATAAAACACATTTCGCTCCGGTAGAAAAATTTAAACTAAAGTACGCGTGGGCTGCAATATTCGTTAAACTATAAAATATAAAAAGGACGGTAACAATGCCTCCGTGTATTTATATTTTTATCAATTGTTACGTTGCATACTTCCAATCATCTCAGGAAATAGTCGGCTGTCGGTAAAATTATTTCGACGGAAAATATAACGAGATAAAACCGAGTCAATTAAGCAATTAATTCCCTCAGGAAGGGAATTTTTTTCTTCCTCACAAGGAAAGAAGAGATTACAAGTCCGCCGTATGATGGCATTCTATAACGGCAACTTTATTTTCATCGAGTGCCTGTTACGCTAAGAAAATTCTTGGATGGAACACCGTTGCTCTTGATCGAAGAGAAAAAGGTAAAAGACAAAGCGAGAACGACGGTCGAGAGCACTAAAGAATAAAGTAGCTCGACCTTAATTTCACCAGCTAACCAAGACTTATCGCAATTATTTCCGCGCAGATATTCCAATATCGATTCCACTTTCTAATTCCACAATCGCCTTAATTAATTTTAATTTAGGAAAAGGAAGAACAAGTGTGAATTTTTTAACAAATTGTATATCTTTCGTTTTACGTTCTTTTAATCTCGTTATGTTATGTTGAAAAAGGACTTGTTCCTTCGAAATGTGTCCCTTCCGAATTGTTAAGTGTGTCCGACATGATAAATTTTCATTATAAATATTTCTTTATTCTAATGTCCTTTTAATCCAAAATGTATAATCTCTCTGTAATTTGTTACGTGGGTCTCATAATAATTCTTTCATGCTAAATATTCTTTTATTTCAATGTACTTTTCCCAATTGTAAAATTTATCATTTATTATGTCTGTCTCACAATATATCCTTACATTCTAAACATTTCTTTTATTCTAACGTCCTTTTATACATCCAAATGTAAGATTTGTAATTTTACAATCTGGAAATACAAAATACCGCGCGTCGTACTCTTCTAAGAGAGCATGTTTGCATTTACCTGTTGCTGACGGTGGCGGTCGTTGCTGATGACCGCTCTCGCAGTACGGAACGCGTCGGTGATGACGAGCAGCAGAATGATCAACGCCGAAGTCGATTTGGAGAACATCTCGCTGAATAGGCGATCCAAAGTCGAATCAGTCGAGAAACCGCCAGGCAAAACGGCACGGCGAAAAAAGGAAAAAAAAACGAGCGGTGCGCGAAAAACTTCGGTCTTGCGGTATCGACCGTCGCTGCCTCCCTAGTCCTTCGATCTACGTCTACTGTAAGGATCGGAGTGCGCGAGAGATCGTCAGGGTTATACGAACTGTGGCTGAGCACGGGAGGTGTTCTGGTGGCGTCGCGACGCATGGCGTCCCTCTTATAGCCGGTAGTCCACGCCTCACGCAACCTCCTCGCTTCGCCCTGGCTGCGCGCAACCCCACGGACCTTATTGTTAAGCGCCGCGACTACGCTGGACGAGAAGAATCTCCGCATAGAAACGCGTTAAGTACTGCTCATAAACTTAGCCTGTACTCAAGATGTTACCTAGAGGGTGCGCCGTTAGAATACGGACATGAAAACGTTCTGTCGAAAAAATTCTTTATCAGAGCCAATATTAAAGATGCAAGGAGACGTTGTAATATTCAACTTAAGATATCCTTCTTGATCCGTCCTCTCATTCGATCCTAAAGCGTGAGCACGCCGTTTTCGACTGGGCCCGATCCATGGCCGCCTCGATGACGACCTGGAAAGAGGCCACGTTGGGGCGCCTGGACCACGCCCCGCACCTAATAGTCGGGAGGGTTCAAGCCCGGGACTATTGAGAGGCCAGAAATCTTTGGACCAAAACATGTCGGCGTTGTCGAAGAGCCAATTCTGTGGGCCGTCTTACTGGAAGATATACGGCCTTCATTCAAGAGCACCGTCCTCAGAATCTCCAAACAGACTTCCTTCGTTTCTCCTTCTGGAAGAAGCGCGCCGGCACAACGACAATCCCGGAATCTTTGTCGCCTTCTTCCTCACTTGGATCTTCCTCCACCGTTGGCCCCGGGGTAGCCGAGAAACCTTATTACTTCACTTAGCGTCCATCCGGCGCGAGAATTTTCAATAATCACCGGTTACCCTCCGGTTATATTTCGATCAACTCGGCCATTTCGAGATTATAAGTCGTCTTACGAGAAATACTCTTATCGCGCGTGTACACGAGGTAACTCACGGCGCGCTTCTATTTCGCCCGGCCGGACGTCGAAGGGACAGAGCGTTTATCGAAAATTGCTATCGCGCTGTTCAGCGGCGGAATATTCGCGATGGATATTGCATCGTTAACTGTGGGAGGACGAGTTGACATTTTAAATATTCTTCCGATAGGGAAAAGCCGCTGTTTATCGGCCTCGAGTCTCGTCGTCATGCGTCGTGCGTACATGCATGCGTACGTGCGCGCACATGTGTGTGTGTATGTGTGACGACTCCGCGACAGGAACAGGACGCACGTCATCCTGTCAGCGAGATGGACGTTGAACGATCGTCCGATTAGCGCAACCTGGAGAAATTTACCGTTGATGCGCACATATACGGTGTTACCTCCGTCCCGCTTTAATCCAGCGGCCAGTAATCAAGATCAATGGTGGCCGGCAAGAGGAATCGTCACCCGCCGGTACCTCCAGACGGTGTCGTAAGCTTTACAAATGATTTCCCGCCGACGGCGGAAATCTCTCCGCGGCGAGACGCGTTATTGCGTTTTCTTCGCGCGAGACCACGGTGCGAATACGTTCACCCGACGGTAAGGTACGCGCGATCGGACGCAAACCGCAAAGAGGCGAGCCCCGGAAGAGGAGAGAGCCGTAATAATTTTATTTTCTTCGTGGATCTCATCAACCTGACTGCGGTCCTACTGCGCTTGACATTTCTCGATGATTGAATATTTCTGAGAGCCTTAATATTGACCGAAACTCAGATGATAAAGTTTAGTGGTGCGGTAAAAGACGGGTTTTTTCAAATATCCAGATTGATCGTTTGCGAAACAGGATGTCCGACGCAAGGCGTGCTAAACCATACAAAACGTATACAACGGATCAACCAGAGAAATATGATCGATATCATTTTGTAAGGTATTACGTAAAATGTCGAGTTATTGTTACATAAATAGATGGCGATTCAAGGACCGAAATAAGGAATAATAATAATCGAGGATTAAAATAATCGAAGGAATATGAAGTACGTGAAAAAAAATACGAACAATATCTCAGATCTCATTCCTGGGCAAGCGATGGGAAGCGAGACACTCTACGGAGAACTGAGAGTTATCCTACTTGACGGTATCTATTTAGATGTAAATGACGGGCATTGTGTAAACATGTTTCCGCAGAAGTAAGACAGAAGTAAAACGCATGTCTCTACGTATCACCGTATCCACTACACCCGTGAATAAATGATCGCGATATTATCAACCTGTTGAAATCCGCTAAACCGTGACGAATGATCTTCAACGTGGTCGTATGCACTCGATCCTGCGTCGCATTTTACGGAGGAATAAAGTTCAGTTATACATCTGTACGATCCGTATAATGGAACGATAGCATTCACCGTGATTGACGGAATACAGTAGCAGCAACGGGAGAACCGCACATTATAGACGGAGCGCGCGCGACCGAATTTCCATGTTTACGATTAAAACGGCGGTCACAATGTAGAAATCACTATAAATAGTAACAGTCTATTCACGAGTTCATCGATAATACAATTGCCGATTTGCAATTCCGCTAGCCGCAGTCACAAATTGACAGGTGAGTGTCGGCAACCTAAATTCTCTCTCTCTCTCTCTCTCTCCCTCCCTGCTGCTCTCGCAAGAGATTAACGCGTCCTTAACGTAATACCATCGAATATTCCGCACTCTATTCCCTCCACGAAACTAATGGATAATAAACAACTGACATTATAATAGGCGTTTCCGAGAGCTGAAAATAATTCCTCCGCGACTATCCGGTAAAAATAACGCAACGTTAGCTTTGAAAATATCCGAGCTATTTTACGTCACACGGAAGGTATTTTCCGTATTGTTCCTGTTATTTCGATATGCAGAATAGGAGACAAAAACAACACATGTAATCCTTTTTTTAGACGATTTATTTTAGCATTACCGGCGAAATACTTTTTTTCGTAATCATACAAAAGTAAATTAATTATATTCGACGATTCCGACGACACGGGCGCTTTGTGTGTTTCCCCCGAGCGGAAAATCTCGAGGGAGAGGGTTTGTTCATCAAACATATCGGATCGTCGCGAAAATATGGGAAAGATAGTATAAAAACTTTTGCGGTTGTTTTTTTGCGTGTTACCTTTGATGGAGGCAAAGAGGCAAGGAGAAAGATCACTATAGAAGTTTCGAACTTTTTTCACATTGGGTATCTCAACCACCAGGCACATACCTGTGCTGACGGAAAGTTCGCGGATCAGAAGAGAGGAAAAAGAAATGTGTTTCACCGGGCCGGAAAGGCGTTTTTGAAAGTCAGCTGTCAATTTGCACACACACTTTCCATTATATTATTCACTGTATGATATACGCAGAGAGAAAGGGAGAGAAAGACTATATTAGTATGGTCCTAAAATGTGTCTTAGGTATATTTAAAAGACGAATGCAAGAAAGATATCTTAGACGTCTCCGAGACGTCCTTTAGACATTTATGCTGCCTGTATTTATGCGTCGGGCGGGAACCTCGTCGTACGTTTCGTGTCTCTCTAAAAACGCGACTCGAGAAAGAGCTAAGGGTGCGAAGGCACATATACCGGGTAGTCTTCCTCGGGGAACACCTGATGACTCCTGTCGTGCCAGGCCTCCGGAGAATGGTGGTATAGTCCATAATTAATGCCGCTGGTCGCGATCTTCTTCAGACCTTGTATACTGGACAATATAAGAGCCATTTTGGCGAGAACCAATGCCTTGCCGCCTAGCACAGCGAGAAACTGAAAGCCCATTGGTATTACGACTGATCCCATGAACAGCAGGCCCAACATCATCATCGGCATAAAATGATGTTTTCGACGATGTCGACGTCTTCGGCCTGAAAAGCGTAATAAATACGTTATTTTTGCGTGCCAAACTAAAAATACTGCCTCGTTATACTTGAGATACTTTGCGCTCGTTATGAAAATTTCCATTCTGACAAAAGGTTTATTAGCACATGGTATAATGTACCGAGAGTTAAAGCGTGAAAAACACGAGAAGACTGCGAGCTGATGACGACTTTTTTCAATAGACTTGTCAAAACGTTGTAACTCACCTTGAACGATATTACTATTCGGATCCGACTCGGATGTATTATTGGTAGCCGACGTTGTGTTGAATATGTGATCAACGTCAACTTTGAAGGCGTGAGTCCGTAGAACGCGCGTCAATCGGTTCCAGATTATCTCTGACCAGCTAATGTCGTCGAACGATCCATCGGGAAGATTATCTCTGCTGGAAAGAAATTTCTGAGGTCTAGTTGTAAAAACTTCATTTCTGAAGTGATTCTCACAGATTGGCACACATTTTTGAGAGAAAAAAAAATAAATATATTCATTACATGAGCATTATAATAACATATTTACTTAAATCTATGATTATGTATGGCAAAAAAATCCCCCCCGCTTCTCTATATAATTATATAATTATATCATTTGTCTCTGTCATAATAGTGTCTATTTCGCTAAGGAACATAGTAAGTTTTTCAACAGCCTCTACTTCCTAAATTATAAATAGAGCATATAAAGCGGAAAGATAGTAAATTGGGATAGAATCAGTACACTCCTTGAAAATGCTACAGTAATTATTATTACAAAGTCCTCTCCGTATTGAAAGTTGCGCGGAAATCAACTCACTTGTGTTCTGTGCTGTTCTCATCGCTCAAATGAAATCGTACCAAATCAATTCCGTCAAACACCGAGATGACGTTCTCGTCGAGAAGCGCGTCCAAAGTGTCGACAATCCTTCGCTGCACGCAACGCCTAAAGGTTTCCAGAATTTCGTCCTGGCCGGAACTGTTCCGCAATTCAGTTGGACAATTCTTGAGCATGGATCGTAATCCGGAATACCATTTTATTTTATCATCGCAACCAGCCCTTACAACCGCAATGACTGCGAGGACAAGCACATGGAGAGCACGAGGGTGCATCTGCATTTAAACGCATATATGAGTCTCTCAGAAAACCGGTGGCAATAATGTCGATTAATGTCAGATACAGTTAACTAAACTTTCCCTATTTCTTTCTCTGTAGTTTATTCGAATTAAGTAAATATTGGAAGACACACTGGAAGAAAAAAAAAGTGCTACATTCAAGCAATATTTACTTAATCCAAATAAAATAAACTACTCCAATATTCCTTAGCAAATATTAACTTGGATGTAACAATTTCTTTTTTCACTGTGTATACTTGTATCTCATTGAATTTTTCCAAACTCTCCCCTTCGTCCGATTTTTTTCGTCACGAGTATGAAATAATTTAGACTATTTTCGTTATCACATGTGGCAACTGTTAAATGAAATATCGTTATTTTTTTAAGATTTGAAAAAATAAAGGAACATATTTACGTACTAATCTTAGGCACTTTTACGCAAGCGATCTCTCTTAAAAATTTACGCGTTTCATCTGTACATGTTTTTATTTTTTCATATTCATTTTTTCGATAGAAATATGACGTCCAAGTGTATACATTTAAGCGAATCAGAATGAAACGGTCAACAAGAAACGGGGAACGAATCCGCGAAAGTGCCAAGATCTGTTGCGTCGTTTCTCGGCGCACTTGAAATTCACACAACAAGTCGTCCCCGAAGTTCTTTACCTCGAAAGATCGGTACTCCTCCGGAGACCTCTTCTCCAACGGATATGTCGCGGTGCACTGCAAAAGACGGTCGTGCGAGTAACGCGTCACGGACATTTATACGTGCAGAAAATAGACTAAGATGCCATGCAAGCGGTCATTACGAGTCATCGAAGGGCATCAAGGTAGCGGTCAAAAGGCGGCCGGACTTCACGCTCGACCAACCTCTCTCCGCAATCACCGGCAAAAATATACTAGTACTTACTGCCTATGACAGTCCGATGTATGACGGTATATAGTGGGCACTGCGATTTTCCCCTGACGATAAGTGGAATCCGTCGGCTTCCGATATAATCTAGTAACGGCTGCCTTCGTCACTGCGGAAACCGAGGACAAAGTGTATTCGCGAATAACGATTTTCAATACGCATTTACGCGAAAATATTTGTGCGAATTTTATACGTAGCTATTTCTCCCTCACAGAAATGCATCAACATATATATTAATAGTAGACAGCGGGTGAAAAATCGAAGAATTTTAGTTACTGTTGAGAAACGAGATTTTGAACGAAAAACCTTTTTCGATGAAAACTCGCAAGTCTATTCTTACTTCCGTATCTTACGTGTATCGCTAAGAATCAATCATCAAATTAAAATAAAGATAAACGTTTGCATACATTCATATTGCTCAAACACAGTGTTGTTATCCCACTGTAAAATTGTAGAGATATAGACGCAGTATATTCGCCAAAAAACATAATTGCAAAAATAAAGGGGGGAATCGAAGAAATTCAAAAGGGAGCACATTTGATCTTTTTTTATAACAACTCTACTAAATATTCTAATAAATAAATTCTAATTTGTATAACATATGTATATGGAGAGAGTGTGGGATTCTCGATTTCCGTTTTCATGATTCATCAAAACGCTTGGATAAACTTTACAAAAATGTATTTTATTAAAATTGTATATTCCGTATGTAAGACAGTAGATCTATAATATATAATGCGATTTTAGTAATAATTAAAGTCGAACTTTAAAGAGAGAGAGAGAGAGAAAGAAAAATGTTTATCTTTCTTCTTGTAAAATAAAAAAAATATTATATATATATAAATTTAATCTCTATACGTGTATCGATTGTATGGTCAATACATCTTCCAGCAGAATGCGATCGTTAACATAACTTACATAACATTTACTCGAGGAAGTTACTCATTTCGCGGTGACGAGAAATGAAAACTTGGTGATAAAAAATGTTCTCTGTTACCACGACTGATATAATTCGTGTGTACAGTCGGTGTTACAAATGTTGTACCATCCCTTAAATTAAAAAACTCTTTATTAATTCACAATTTTTAGCCTTTCATATATAGTTTGAAACTATTATAATTAGAGCCATTACAACTCTATTATTATAATTAGAATTATCTCTGCGATTTTCAACCTGCGTTATATGTAAAGCTAAAAATTGTATAATTCTCCGTCTAGAAAATGGCACAGTATACGTGATGTCGGTTGTGCATTAAGCTAGAACGAGACAAGTGAAACAAAACAACTTCTTGTTCAATCTTAAATCGCCAACTTCCGGCTTCATTTTACAGAAAGAATGCGTGGCCTACGTATATATGTTGTTAACTAAGAGCAATCCACTGAGTAGAAACCTCCTACAGTAACCTTCCTGTTTCTACAACCGAATTTTCGCAGGAAGCTTAGGCAACGGAAAATTCAGTTACACCAAAGGAATTCTTTTTCCCGCATATCGAGGTAAAATTATTGCAACTTTTGATCTAACTCCCGGACACCGACTGTACTTACAAACTGAACATTAGAAGACGACGTAATCTTTAGTTCAGTTGATCGTGTTCAAGCTGACATTCTCGTTAATTTTTATGTACAAAATTTATTCATCGCCGGAAATTATAATCGCACAATGTGACGTCGACGGTTATGTTTTGCAGACATAAGAATTGTAACTGCACACGGAGTAATTGTCCTCGGGTATCGGCTCACAGTCATCGTGGCCGCCTGAGATCCCAGCACCTTCGTTAGGCTTGATTCCTTTAACGGAATATTTGTTCCTCGGCATAGCGGAAGTGATGCACAGTTCCAACAACGCCCACTCCTCCGTAGAGATGAGCGAGCCCTCCTCGCTATGCGAACTCACTGAGCTGTGGCACGACGGCACTGCGTTGAGTTTCGTCATGTTCCTGCACGACGAGTCATCCTCGTCGTTTTCCGTTCTGTTGACCATCGATGCGCCGCAATTAGCGACGCGAGGAGATCGCGAAGATGGACCGTCGACCGTCGTATTGACGTTCTCGCTCTCAACGCGATGATGCGGTGATCTACGTGCGCAGTGTGGCGAATTGTTGATCTTCTCACGCGCGTTGCTGTCACTGTTTCTCGACGTCTGACTCGAGGTCTGTGCCATGTTGTTCGTCGCTTTGTCGGGGTAGCAGTTGAAGTTACTCGAGGTCGCGTTCTCGATGAAACGGTCCGTCGTGGCAACGCTCGCAACTCTGAATGACGACGGTGGGTGTAACGCAACGTTTCTGACAGGATGAACCTTGCTCACGCAGTAGGAAGATGATAAATAAACCGGAAAGTTCCCAATTGCTCTCGGATATGCATCAAATTTCTTCACCGCTGGTGCCATTGTTGTGGACATAGAACTCAGTACCTAAAAAGTCATTGAAAAATATCACAGACGTTATAGAGTACCAGATATTCATTCTGAAAAATAAACGTATACACAAATAATTTACTTTTGGCATCCCGGATCTAATGCATTGTGCTAAAATGATGTCTTCCTCCTCTTCGGAAAGCCCAACGTTGTCTTCGAAAGGTAAAAGCTTTCTCGTTACAGTCTTCCTCTGTTCCATGTGACCCGACTGAAAATATGCCGACGAAGTGGAAGACGTTCGCATATCCGTCGTTTTGGTATTTTCAATAGTTTGCGACAATGACGGTCTGATTGACGGTGACACGCTAAATCTCGCCTGGAATGTAACAAATTATCCACAATGATTACATGAGATATTTTGCAATGAGGTTATGCAGAGGTCACCTTTGGCATCGCGGATTGTATGCATTCAGTCAAAATTGCTTCGTCATCCGAATGATTCGGACTGTCGTCGGAGAGTTCATCCGGATGCCGCCTCAATGACGTATTACCCACTGATTTAGCCATTATAGAATTCTTATTCGCATGACTCGTCTCGACAGGCGAGGATGATGGAGTGCTGTATATGTTAAACTTATGCGACGGTAGTTCGGATTTCTTCACGAACGGTAAGTTATTTATCAGAGGTGGAGTTATCTGCCTCGGCTGCAAATAATAAATAAATTAAAACATTATTTAATACATAAATAACATAATACATAAATAACATAAATTAAAACATAATTAATAATTTAAACATTATTAATATTAATGGCACTAAACATCCTTGCTTAGGTCTTTGTGGTCTTACACTGGCAATATTAATTTCGGTGGGGTCTCATACATGAAGATTTAGATTAAAAATGTCTTCGACAAACGGTCTAACGGTTGAGACTAACACAATCTGCTTAGTTATCTCTCTTGAGAATTACCTTAGGTATGCCCGATTGAATGCATTCGTCCAATATTTTCTCATCCTCGCCGGAAAGATTGGAACTTTCATCGGACAAATCGTTCCTATGACACGCGATCTCCGCCGATTTCTCCTGCTCGATTTTCTCTATATCCTCTTGCACACTCGGCATCGAGAGGGCAGACAGATTAGATTGAGAGCCGACCGGGGAAATATCCGCTGGCGTGTCCTCCGTGCAATATACGTGCACGGTATCGGGAGCGACGCCGATTTCCATAGCGGTTTTACTAGTCTTTGAAGCGCCGATGGATGTCTCAACGAGGGACACGTGCGATTTCAGCCTATTCGGCACAGAATTTTTCTGATACGGTGCCAAGATACTCGACGGCTCCGACTGCGCGGGCTTTTGAGAGTTGAGCATTTTGAAGGATTGTCTGTATCTGCAATACACGTATGAGTGTTAGAAAGAATTCGTGTGGTTTTTTTGACCAAGAAATATATCCGAAATTAGCCGATTTCTTGACACAGAGAACATCACCTGTTGGTTTGCATTCCCATATTGATACAAGCGGCCAACATATCCTCGTCATCCTCATCCCCGTCGCTCACCTGCTCCTCTTTCACTTTACTATTAGAGCTGTTTATCGTCATATTGAGCATGTCCGTCTCGATCCTGCGAATATTCTTCTCATCCGTGTCGGATGACACCTTTTCCAATCTACAATGTGCCATGGTGTCGTTAGGTATTTTGACTTCATCATCGATTGTGAGAGAACTCAGACTGGTCGCAGTGGAGAATTCGGCCGGTGTCGATTCTTCCTTGAAAGTGGCGACCTCATCCTCGAAAACGCTGCTCCTTGTGACTTGCGGTTTGGGATACGCTGCAACACAGACATGGAATTTGTGCAATCTTCTGTACGAATATTTGTTTTTAATTCTGTTACATAAATACTGTGTGTTTATATACTTTTAATTATGTTATTATTATCATTACATTGATGATCAATGACATTGCATACATAAATGTCGGACGGATGGTCTTACTGCTTCTTCTTGCATTTTAGACATAAACTCTGCATTCTGAGTTTTATGATTACGCGGGCTGGGTAGGACTGTTTGTGTGGGCGAGTCTGGCAGTTCACTGGGTGAAACTACTCCACTGGTCCTACGGCTGAGGAAATATTCATGATGCTTTTAGACCTGCTTCTACCTTCAATTCTGCTACTCGCGTATTGTACAACTTACCTAAAATCACTGACCACAGAACTGCGATCGTCATGAATAGAATGTTGCTCAAATCCACTAAGAGAGCCGAGCGAACTGCAACGTGAGAACATCAGAGGGGTTTCTTCAGCATAATAATCTTGACCACCAAATGTCACCATTTTTCCTGAAATATACACATTTATATATCAATTAGACAGTTGCATACTTGTTACAGTCATACGTATATATATAGAATTATATATTTCCTTACATTCTTATCATTAATTTAACAAGCAATACAAACCTTCCTTATCTAACACGCGTGAATTACTTTTATTCACAGACAGACCACTATTCTGCGAAGACAGTCTCATTTGACTGTCGCTCAAAACGCTGTGATCGTCGTTCTCCAGCTCTTCCTTGTTCGCAGAATCTATCTTCGATATAACTCCTGGAATGTTATTCTGAGGGGTCATTGCGCTACTCAGAGAACTAAGCGAATTGGCGCGTGAGAAACCATGCGACGTTCCCTCCTCGTAATAACTTACTATCTTCTCGGGGGTCACTTGTCCAGGATTGAGAACCGTGGTATCCTTTGGGTTCTCCTCCAGTTCTTCCTCCTTCCTTACCATAGCGCCGTGCTCGTCGCAGCCGAGCGACGTCACCTGCTTGATGAAAGACACAGGGCTCTTACGAGCAACCTCGATCGCCTTCTTCGGCACCTTCTTCATAACATCGCTCTCCTTCGTGTCCTCAACCCGCAGGTCCGACATGGAAGTGGCCGTGGAGAAATTGAAGGGGGTCTCGTACGGGGTGCCCTCGGTGCAGTACGTTTTGACGGTGTCCTCTTGCTCGCCACCGGTGAAGTACTCGGTGCTCTGCTTCTCTTCATCGTCGGTGTCGTCTTCGGCATATCGTAGACTGTAATCCGTGGGCTGATCGAGATCGGTCTCGGCGTAAAACAGGTCCACCTTGGGGTCCCGATCGCGAAACTCCTTCTCCATATTGACAATTTTGACAGTTCAGTCAACAGAGACGCATAATCGACAGAGATCAGTTTCGAAACGAGATCTTTTCATCGAGCTCTGTAATATACTGGAGCGAGCTTTCTCTATAGATACAATATATCTAGACTGAGCGTTGAGGGGTCGAGGTGCACGTAGAAAAGGATGCGTTCGAGGCGTTCACTCTATCAGCGCGTCAAACGTCATTCTATTTTTAATGCTCATTGAGGCCTATAAACAAATGATTCTGATTGGTTCACTTCCGCATTATGCACAAGTGTATGCATCCCGCTTCTAGTAATAAAATCTAGTGACATCGAGATGAAAAAATATCGACCAGGGGGATAATCGATTATTTCGAAAAAACATCGAAGAATGATCGATTTTTTTAAAGAAAAACGAATCGTACATCGATTTATTGGTCGATGATTGCCCATCTCCGAAATAGAAAGTGTAAGTCGCAGGGAATAGCTGCTTCATTGGCCGCCAACGACGGCAATGTGCGATCGGATTGGCGCGCATGTGGGCGGTCGGGCGGGGGCTCTATCGATTTAAATTTGGTTTGCCGGTTCGCGGGTCAATAGTCAACATAGCGCAGTCGCCGCGTGCACTACGGACGTCTTGTCGATGCGCTCGTCGAGGCGTGCACATCTGCAGCGACCGTTTCCTCTCCTTTTCAGACGGAAGAGATGTCCGGACGAGGGAAGTGCGAGACGTCCGCGGAAGCGGTGGCCGCTCAGCACGGGCCGATGAAGTTCAAGAGCGCCGTGCCGAGAATCAGGTCAGTCGTTCTGCGCCGTCGGTGCTTTTCGCCGGCGGGATCGCGATTATCTCCGTCGTCGGGATCGATCGGCTGACTGAGATACGACATATGTGTGCGTGTGTGTACGAGCGTACATACGCGTTATAAATCGAGCACGGTACAGCACGCGCCAAAAATGCGACTTGTTCTCTCAGGCCTCGTCCAAGCCCGCGCTAATCCCACGCAACGTGCGGTTTAATCACAGCCGGCCACGCCTTAAGCGTTTTATACGTATATGCACCCGTGACTCACCGGCTGCCTACCATCGGTGTCGCGAATCTCGCGTATCTCACCCTCGGACGCGGCTCGATAACATCGATCGATAAGGAACGCCTAGCTCACGGGAAACGCCGCGTACATCGCGTGCATAGAGATCGTCTGCCCGATGAGAAATCCGGTGATGTGGCCGGACATTTATCCTCTTTGTAAGTCTGTCGGTGCTAATTACACTCTATGCACTATGCTCGTATATTTTCGCTCTCATGGTATCTCCAAGGTCACGCGTCTACTTCGCTTTGTACGTGGAAGAATGTCACGACGGAAATGTAGCCGAGGTAACTGCTGCCGAACATTGTGCGCGAGTTTTGAAAATTGTCGGTTTTCTTCCTGACCGATTGGTCGGAGCTACCGGTCACGTGGGAAAATTGCGCGCTCACGATTGGTGATTCGTAATAATAAGTCCTCGGTGTTATGTTCGAGGAATATGTTATCAATGCTGTTATGTCATTTTGACCTTATTTCGTGTGTGGTGATAGGAAAGATAAAGATAGACTGACCGAATAGCGGTTCCCCGAACTTTTGTTTCCTCTCTGTTCGGTAAGTTGAAAACGCCGTTGGCATATACAATTTCGATAAAGCCTTAACATTTTCTCTTACAGTCATTATCATTTCCTAAATTTAAACTTATTAGTACATTTCTCGTTGTCCCTGTCGTGTCGCGAAATAAACGCGCAGTACATCATGACTGTTGATTATTTAATATTGAACTGTCATATAATATCTTGACAACTCATATATATAATATTATATTCAGGCAACTTTATGGCATTTTATAAAGTAGTTTTATAAAGTAGTAGTCAGAAGAACGTCTTCAAGATGTCTTGTATCCCGATTTAAAACATTTTTCTGAGATATTGTTTTAACCCTTTGCACTCGAGGGCTCCGCTATGGAGACAATGCAAATAACTTTCAGTTCATAACATAAGGACAAAGACAAATCGTAAAAACTAATGTGTATAGGATATTCTGCTCTTGCTATTTGCATTTGAGTTTGAAGAGTTTGAAGACAAATTTTAAATGGCTCCGCTCCGGAGCCCTCGAGTGCAAAGGGTTAAAAGAGATTGTATTTAACGCATTTCGTGTCGGGCTGCAAAAATATTGAGATACGTGAAATCCAAATACCGTTTTAGGGTAATTAGGATCCAAGGAACTCAAAAAAACTAAAACTGGAATTCTCCGACCCCCAGCCGTTTTCTCCGGAAAATAGCCGCAACATCTATCTTGCGTGATACCTGACATTTACTCGGTCACAGAAAACAAGTTTTTTTTTATATCAAAACATGCGACAGAAATACGACGAAGCAAATATATAATTCACGACATGTACGACAGATAATTATAGCTGATAGAATTACATAATTGGTCATAGCAAGGTTGCAACATTTCTTTTTTTTTTTTACATCAAACATGCAAAAATACTATGACGAGGCAAATATAGCATAATTGGTTATAGCAAAGTTGCGACAGTTTTTTTTTTATATTAGAATAAAAATTCAAGGAAATTGTCAAGGAAATGTTAATTACATATGTGTCATTTTGTTGATTTGTTCATTATATATGTATCATTTTGACAGCTGTCTGACTACTTACTGCACATGTTCGTAAATCATAGGTTAGTTTCGTTGTAGTTTTTGTGTTCCAAAACATATAAGAAAAATTGTTGCAACCTTTCTGTGACTGACTGTATGTACACCTGGTGATGTATAATTGCGAATCGTCGTTATCGACGATTTGAATTTTTGGCAGTAATACTTCGTCATTATTTAAAAAATTTTTTTATATTTACTATTTTTAGTTGATTAATAAAAAAGTTGAGGCAATGATTTGGAAAAGTGTGTTTTACAAGGTTATTTTTCATTTTTTGGATAAAATTATTTTCTGAAAAGCACAACTTAAGCTACCTCCGCTATCGCAAAGATGTTAAAAATGTCCTTAAGATGTTTCTTAGTATCTCATTTAAATAAAATATTTTAAGGAATTCTTGTATAAGCATATTATTTAGAATGAAATCATTTTATGCACAAATATGGCGGAAAAGATTAGAGAGACTAGCGAGTTTTGGCTTAGTAAATAAAGTTAAGGCTTTATTGAAGTTTCGTATATACATTTAGGCTCGAAAAGGAGGAGCGGAGAAATAACAGAATGCGAAAAGTCCGAGTAAAAACAGACAGACTTATTTTGAGACTCGCGTAGTTATAATCGCATACGACTTCAACACTAACGAATATTTTCGAAGTTTGTTTCTACTCGATCGATTCATGTTTTTGCCTTGTTTTTTGATGTTTAAGGCAACAATTGTTAAAATGGAATGGTTGGGGTTACAAGGATTCTGAATTTCGTCTGAACGATCAATATATCGTGGAGTTCACTGGTAACAGGTGAGTCTCCATATTTACACGTGTGAGTGATAATTATTAATATTGATTGCATGTTAAGTCTGTTATGCCGGCTTGCAGTTATACAGATAGTCGATTTTATTAAACACGTATGCAAATATGGAATACTGATATTAATTTTTGGTGTGGACTAATATATTCATATTTTGACATAATTAGCTCGTTCTTTACGTCACGCACAGGTGAGTCACTTATTAGTTTACTCGCTTTAATTTAGATTTACGTCTGCGCTAACTCTGATAATGTTTCAACGTGTTATAAGTATGACATCTTTCGTATGTGAAAAGAGCAGTTTCGCCATTTATTCTACAGATTCCACTGATAGTTATTTTTACGTTATTGAAATCTTTAAAGAAAAAATACTTCGAAATAATATTTATTGGGATAACTTAAGATTTAATAAAGTTCTGTTATTTGATATGTTTATATAGACTTTTTTCAAACTTTAAATACCAATATCCTTTACATAGGAAATACTTCGTCCTTGTTACACGGAATATTTCATATCATAAATTGTTACTTTATACAAGAATCTCTAATAGAACGATTTTCCAAAAGACATATTTAAGAAGTTTACACTGTTAGAGATCGTATATGTGCGACTTGTGAATCAAGAGTTTTGATTTGCGAAAGAAACAAGTTACGTCGTGATTTAAGATGAAAAATTAGCATCGCTAAAAAAGGTAAGGAAAAGAATGATCGGAAGTGGTTAATTAAACAAATTTTGTTCATGCATTGTTATGTATTGAAATATATTTATTAAATACATGTAAATTCAATTAAATCAATTAAATCGAATTGGATTAAATTAAATCGAGTCAAAAGTTAAAAATTTGTCATTTAATGCACTGAATACAAAAGTGAAAAATAAATGAACTGTGTCGCTAAAAAAAGAATTATGGAATAATAACATAATGTCAAGATTATATCGAATGTTACTCCATTTTTTCACGTGATTTGATGACATATTGTAAATGCTTTTCGGATAACAGTTGAGCTGTTGCTATTTTCATGAAATAAACTGCAATTATTGTACCACTAGGTGTTAAAATTATTCTATATATATATATATACGAGGGCGGTCCGATAAGTACTTAGCCTACAAAAGAAAAACGAAAATTTTGGAAAAGTGGCGATTTATTTCTCAACATAGTCTCCTTTTAGCTCGATACACTTGACCTAGCGATGCTCCAACTTCTTTAACCCATCTGAAAAATACGTTTTCTCGAAGTCTGCAAAGTAGGCCTCCGTGGCGGCGATGACCTCCTCATTCGGCCAAATTGGTCGAATTGGACTACGAACTGCTGCCCCATCCACCGTATTCTCCAGATTTGGCCCTGTGCGACTTTTTTTTGTTTCCAAACTTGAAAAAGTCATTCGCCGGGCAGAAATTTGAGTCGAATGAGGAGGTCATCGCCGCCACGGAGGCCTTTGCAGACTTCGAGAAAACGTATTTTTCAGATGGGTTAAAGAAGTTGGAGCATCGCTGGGTCAAGTGTATCGAGCTAAAAGGAGACTATGTTGAGAAATAAATCGCCACTTTTCCAAAATTTTCGTTTTTCTTTTGTAGGCTAAGTACTTATTGGACTGCCCTTGTATATATAGAATCCATGTATACTCGCAGAATACGTATGTACATAGAATAAAGAGATAAAAATGTGTGAAAATTCATACTTCGTGGTCACATATTATTTCGTATATTCTTTCCTCGTTTCACTCGTTTCTAATTGCATCAGGAATAAATTTAGCTTTTTGCAAAGTCAACGCAATCTGTTTATTTTTAGTATTCATTTAACGAACTGTGCTCATATTTTATATTAATATTTTGCGCGATAATAATTACTGAATCCACACGTGGCATAATCTGTTTATTTTTAGTATTCATTTAACGAGCTGTACTCATATTTTATATTAATATTTTGCGCGATAATAATTACTGAATCCACACGTGGCATAATTCAAGTATAAATTTGAATAAATAAGACTAACAGTCTGTCGATATTGCTGGACAATTTCTAGCTAAAGCACGTGTTAATAGTTGTCCTTTGAAATTTTATAGGAGATGCTCTAATGTGAAAGATATTTTAATGTGATATATTTAAATTTGATTTTAGAGATAAATCTAAATTTTTTTAGTTTAATCGCTATTACAGTAACGTGAGACATATTATATAATTCAACTAAAAAACTCGGATTTTAGTTGAAATTAAATTCCGAGTATCTTACAAGTTTCAAGTGCTAATGATGAACCTAAAACAAGTACGTTAGCTCGAATATTTGGAATTCTTCTCGGTTTCCACACATGCCTATGCACTAAGCTAATAATTGCATTTGTACCGGCAAACGTGTCACCGATGCATGTCGTAATGACATCTGTGTCCCAGACATTTTTACTTTCTTTTCATATTTACACGCGTGAGTAGTTCTCGCTGGTTTACGAAATCTTCCAGACCGGACATCTTGAAATTTTCCGAAGTGAAACGACGGCCAGACTGTCGTTCATGGAACAGAAATTATGTGAGAAATCGATTATTCGCTTTGAGGCTTCTACATAAGTCCGTACCAGAGACTGCACCGCCTCTTTGTGTTATAAATGCGCGATATATATTTCTGTGCGTGACGTAAAGAACGAGCTAATTATGTCGAAATATGAATATATTAGTCCACGCCAAAAATTAATATCAGTATTCCATATTTGCATACGTGTTTAATAAAATCGACTATCTGTATAACTGCAAGCCGGCATAACAGACTTAACATGCAATCAATATTAATGATTATCACCATGAATGTTATCATCATGAAAAAAAAAATCCCAATAAAAATGAAATTTGTCTCTACTTTATTAAATTGTTAATCTGCTTACAAATTTGAACACATTTTTTTTTAATAATCAATTTTATTTAATACTTAATAATTTTCATGAAAATATGTTTTATTAAGTAAATTAAATTATTTATTAAACGTAAAAAAGATATTTTCTACAATATAGTCAGTATTTAATGAAATATAAAAAATGTTTGCTACTAATAAAGGGAGGACCAAAAGTGAAAACGCGTTTTTTGGACGAAACTAGGCTTAAAATGTAGGATTCGGCAGTTAAAATTCTACAGGGTGGGCCAAAAATCACGAAGGAGTCTGAAGTTTTAATAGTTTTTTGTTTATTAATTTTTCTTTACAGATTTTAAGAAGAAGGCATTGAAGATTAACCATGGAAAAATTCACGACCGAACAGCGAACATAAATTGTGAAATTTTACTGTCGAAACCAAAGATCAATTATTATATTAATCTCCAAGGTCTTCTTTGTAAAGTCTGTAAAGAAAAATATAAAAAAGGATTAATTAAAAAAAAAATGATTAACCCTTTGCGCTCGAGAGGTGCCTCTCAGGCACCACTCGGATCGAGGCGGCAAATCGAGCGATAACGGTGTTTATTTAAATTTGGCCTAACGAATATCGCTTCACGAGTTTACTGCTAGTCCTTTGTGTGTAATCTTATGAGGTAATGGTTACAGAGGTGTCTTATCATTTTAAATTAACTGTAAAAAACTCATGAAATAAGCGGGAGCAGCCAACTCCTCTCGAGTTGCTGGTTCGCTCGAGCGAAAAAAGCCTTGAGCGCAAAGGATTAAAACTTCAGAAATCTTAAGACATGAAATTGTATTCTTTCGAAGCGTATAATATATTTCTCGTAGAAAGTTGTAAAATGGTGTAATAATAATGTTAATTAGATATGTGATAATAATATGCAAGTTTAAGTAGTGAAATATGCGAAGACTATCATATCGGTTCGTGCGATGTCACATAATGTGAATTCCAACGCTGTTAGATATCCCATTGGAAGTCAACAACTTCCATACTTTGCGAAATGGTGCCAAGAAACGTTCGATGTGGAATGGGATTTGAGGAACGTGGCTCAAGATATGCCAACGAACTTGCCAGCACCAATTCTTTCAGCGGAATTACTGAAAGCAATCGAAGAGCTGAAGATCGACTACTCGACTGATGGTGTCGATCGTTTGATACGAGCACACGGCCATACAATGCGAGAGATATTTCTTCTGAAGCACGGTTCCTTCGAGAGAATACCGGATGTCGTCTTTTGGCCGAGTAAGTTGACATTTCGCGACCGTTGTATTACAAAACCCACGATGGTATCTTTCCGATATTAATACCAAATGTCTGTACACTCATAAATATGACACGTTTCTCTTATTTTGATTTAAATTATATTTGTTAATTTTGAATCCTCCGCCACCGATCAAAATAATGAGTAATCCGTTGAATAATTTTAATATTGAATGTCTCATTTGTGGTGGACGATCTTCGTCTTCTATAATTTTATCATTTAATTAAATTTAACACAAAGGTATTCATATACGTCATATTCATTCCATGAGAAAGTTAAAATTGAATCGCTTCCGTGAAAAAATTCTTTATGCAGAGGAGGAAACGACTGCAAATGAAGGATCTCCTTCGTGCATCAGATTCGATTTTGCAAGCCTGTAGTCAATGATATGACGGTACTCCGCCTGTTAAAATACTATTTTCATACTACTTCATTGAGCTAATAATAGCTAACTTTTAATAGTTGTGAATTATACTCGATGTGACAATTGCGTTCTACTTATTATCCACACGCACAAAAACATATGTATATTTCGAGCAGTCGGAACGTTGGAAAGAAATCGTTAGAACGCGGCGCATAAAATGTGTGAGAAATCTTTCACAGAAATAATTCAATGTTATACCCGACACGTACGAGTTGTAACAAGAACAGTCGATACGGACTACTCGTTCAGATCCAAGAGCGAATACGTGACTCGTTCAATGTTCAGTTTTTCATTGCTTACCCACTGATTTGTTCATTCGTGAACACGAAAAATAAGTCAGTTCGTGTAACTGATTTTCTGTTATCCTGAGAACCAGACAAAAACTTGTAGAACAAAAAGTTGTAGAAATAGGAAGATTTCTGTAAGAGATTTTAGTTCGGTCAATTGTTTACAATGATCTCAACGCAACCGAATGTTCAGATCGAGCCGAATGAAAATATCGGTCTGGTTCCGGTTCGCTAAAATATCTAATAAAGATTTCGGTTCTGATTTTCTGAGTGAAAGTACCGATACCATTTAAATTTTAGGTTTTTTTAGGTTCCGATTCTTTAAACTTGTTTCCTTCCTGAAATTTTTATTGAATTAAATTATATATATAAACTATTTTTGAATATAATTTGTTTACTTTTATTACAATATATAATTTTCTTAAAAATTGATGTCATTTCCAAATAAAAGAAAACCCGATTTGAAAGAGTTAAAAAGCGGAGGTGCTGACTCATAATTCGTTTACTGTACGCAAAAATGAGTATTTTATGAAAACTCATTAACATTTACAGCGTGTCACGATGACGTCGTCAGAATCATCAATATGTGCGCGCATTATGGAGCAACCTGTATACCTTTTGGCGGTGGAACCAGCGTCAGCGGCGCGGTATATTGTCCCGCGAACGAACACCGGACGATAATTTCGTTAGACACATCGCAGATGAATCGGATATTATGGATAGACAGAGAAAATCTGTTGATATGCTGTGAATCGGGCATCATCGGCCAGGACCTGGAACGGCAACTCCGCCTCCAGGGATTCACGAGCGGCCACGAGCCCGATTCTTATGAATTCTCCAGGTACACGATATGCCCATTTCCATGCATGCTTGATATCTTACTCTTACAGAATTGCGGACTATGTAATGACGATTGAACGAACGATGAAATATTTCTAAAGTATATATGGAAATTGAATGGGGATATGCAGAACGCGATTTGTAAACGCAACGGTCGGAGCTGATCCTCACCGATTTCGATGGGCTTGAGATATGTTGTAGAGCATCGCAAAATATTGGATGCATATTTTTTTTTGCATCCCAACGTCAAGAGGTTGAAACAACTCCTCGATAAAAACGAATTTTTTAATTTTTAGTGAATATCTTCAAAAATATAAAATATATGGAAAAATATTTCCTACAAAAGTTTCATGATATTTTATACTCTTCCTACTATTATTATGTTATTACAATATATAAGCGTCTGTAATATCATAATATTATTATTATTATTAGAGCTAATCAAAAATACATTTCAGGCTTATAAGAGCCAGACGCAAGATAAAAGTGCCTTAATATAAAAATAATAGAATCACTTATACAAAGATACTAATATTACAAATATTTCGCTCTCCTTTATATTCTTTCCAATGCAATAAATACAAATAAAAAAATGTCTGACACCGTATTTTGTCCGATTTTGTTAGATTGACAAAAATGTCCACATGTCTTTTAAATTGTATTTATTACGTTGAAAAAGATCCGAAGGATGTTTGGGAATCCAGCCTTGAGTTATAGTCCACGTTCGTAAGCGCTTTCACACGAGATTCGTATTATTTATATTTCCCGAAACGCAGCGGCTAATTCTTTTCTCAAACAGTTTAGGGGGATGGGTGGCGACCCGGGCGAGCGGCATGAAGAAAAACACATACGGCAACATCGAGGATCTGGTGGTGCGAGTGCGAATGGTTACCGGGAGGACGGAGGATCCTGTTATCACTTTGGAGAGAGGTAATTTAGTACCTCGCGCGTCCTGCGGGCCGGACTTCGACCACGTGATTCTCGGCAGCGAAGGCACTCTGGGCGTCGTCACGGATGTCGTAATGAAGATCAGACCATTGCCGCGGGTGATGAAGTACGGCAGCGTGGTATTCCCGAATTTTCAAAGCGGCGTTCAGGCCTTACGGGAGGTGCGTGTTTCTTTACGAGGAAAGATTCGAGTAATCTTTTACGAAATATACAAAAAGTACAAAGCTCTTCTGTACACGTGTAGATCGCGAAGGAGCGATGCCAGCCAGCCAGTATACGGTTAATGGACAACGAGCAGTTCCAGCTGGGGCAGGCGCTACGCCCGGAGTCCGGCTGGATCAAGATGATCCTGCAGAGCCTGAAGCAGGTGTACATCACCGGCGTGAAGGGCTTCTCGTGGAATCAGATTTGCGTGGCGACGCTGCTGATGGAGGGCGACGCAGCGCAGGACGTCGCGGTGCAGGAGCGCAAGATCTACAGCATCGCCGAGAGACACGGCGGCGTGCCGGCGGGCGAGACGAACGGCGAGCGCGGCTACATGCTGACATTCGTGATCGGATACATACGCGACCTCGCGCTCGAGTTCTACGTGCTGGCGGAATCGTTCGAGACGTCCGTCTCGTGGAATCGCGCGCTCACGCTGTGCAGGAACGTGAAGTCGCGCGTGGCCAGGGACTGCGAGGCGCACGGCATACGCAAGTACTTCATCTCCTGCCGCGTCACGCAAACCTACGACGCCGGCTGCTGCGTGTACTTCTACATGGCGTTCAAATACACGGACCTGAAGAATCCGATCGAGACTTACGAGGCGATCGAGTACGCGGCGCGCGAGGAGATACTGGCAAGCGGCGGCTCCCTGTCGCACCACCACGGCATCGGCAAGCTACGGGCGCCGTTTTATCGCGAAGCTGTCGGAGAGGCCGGCGTCGCCCTTTATCGCGCTACCAAGGCGCATTTGGATCCGCATAATATATTCGGGGCGGGCAATATGGATGTAATGTACAAAGCGAAACTATGAAAGCCGCGTCAGGCTGCACGGATTCGGACTAGACGATTCGGCGTTGGAGAATGATCCGGTTCGAGAACATTTTCTTTCATCTTAACGAAGATAAGAAAACAAGAGTGAATAGTAAGAGACAAGTGGCATTATCATTTACTGATTTATCATGATGGTGTGTAGAAAAAAAAAAAAGAGACTAGTTTATATCATAAATAATTATGCACCGTGGTGACACGTTTTGGTACAAATGCGGAATTGTAATTGTATCGGCATTTTTATAAATTATTACAACTAAACGAAACACACACACTCTTTCTCTCTCTCTCACATTCTCTTACTTACAACATATCTTAATCTACCTCTATCTCGCTATCATCCGATAGTTAGGTACGAGTGTGTAGTGTCATCTTTTTTCAATGTTTCGTGTGAGACGAGAACGCGTCTGCTCGAATGAATCCAGGCTGGATTCGAGTTAACCATTAATCAGACGCGACTCTTAATATCCAGGTGTCGTGATGAAGTGTTTGCTTTCAGCAGTCACTTTTCAGCGATATCATTTTATATAGTTCATGGTCGGCACATCACGCGCAACCAAGGATTAACAATCGTATTCGATTTCTACAATAATTGAAAGTATGAGTGGCAGTAAATTGGTCTAGAAATTGGAACGATTGAAGTTAGAGAGAAAAAACAAGACAATCAAGAAACAAGAAAACGAATGATCCGTACGTGCCGACGGTTACGGTCGTATCTATCCGTCATTCTTCGCTGACGGCTTATTTTCTTTTTTTTTGCTTCTCCTTTTTCAGTCAATCACACCATATATGAATCAATTCTACATGAAAATATCATTTTATTAACATCGAATCAGCTTTATAAAAAAATCATTTATTCATTTCACATATTTACATAACTCTCGCAATTGCAATTGTCGTTTTAATTGCGTCCATATCTAATCAAATACAGGGTCAAACATGCACTATTATGTTTCATAATATTCATAAAAAGTCGGGACATTTTGTTGGTACCGATAATATCAACGTCGCCTAAAATTAAGTTTCAGTGTTGGACTTTAGTTACTGACTGCTTCCAATTTCTAAATTTTACCGTCACCCTGTCTCCCCCCCTTAGTTCACTTGATATCACGCATCGAACCTCGAGCTACAATGTATGCGTTGGAACATGTACTGAGCCCTAACTTACACATATACGCTCAACGAGTTCCCAACGAGGTACAACAAGCTTACTGGCTATCAGCCTTCAGAGTGGACAAAAATGAGTCGAGATCGTATTCGTCGTCGTATTGCTGCTGTCCCCAGAGTTCAGGTAGAATATCCAGCATAGAACGACTGATGCCCGATAGGCCTGCCGCAGTGTCATCGTGTCGATCTGATCTTTTATCTTTTTCATTATCCAACGTGAACAGGTCCAACAACTGAATAAATAACATCGATATTATACATCTCGTAGTCTCTTGGAAGATCAAGTGAAGATCAAGACATTGCACAGTGGATATTTCTTGGCCAAAACTCATTTTTTCAATCTTCAAGAATATCGAAGTGACGTGCCGTTCAGAAGAAAATCGAGTTGCGTACATTTATATATAAAAAATAGCGAGATAGGTGAATTAAATCACTTACAAATTACACAGCTATTTATCTCCTTCGAAGACGTTCTGTATTAATGAAAAATTAATTTCACAAAAATTTCCGAGTTTTGGTCGAGAACTTTTACTTCCAAACAACCGTGCACCGTCTTGTACTTACCTGATCGGTGCCCATCGTGTCCAGCGAAGTGTTCTCCGTCGATATCACGGTGTTCGCCGTGAGAAGCTTGAACTTCTGCAGCCCCATGATCTTCTCCTCTACCGTCGATCTAGTGATCAGACGGTACACATTAACCACCTTCTTCTGGCCTATACGATGCGCGCGGTCCATCGCTTGCAGATCCTTCATCGGGTTCCAGTCGTGCTCGACGAATATAACGGTGTCTGCGCCGGTCAAGTTGAGGCCGAGGCCACCGACTTGGGTGGTCAAGAGAAGCACGTCGATCGATGGATCGGCATTGAAACGCGCCACGACGGAATACCGCTGCGCCGCTGGTATGCTACCGTCGAGACGCAGATATGTCACCGTCGGCAGATGCATGCGCAACAGATCTTTCTCCACGATATCCAGCATTGCTTTCAACTGACAGAAGATCAGGGCGCGGTGCTGACTGACCAGTTGCTGTTGTTGAGCGCTCTCCGCGCTCGCGGCCGACGAATTGCCGCGAGCTTGCTGATTGGGCTGTTGCCCGATGCCGCAATCTAGCAACAACTGCTTGAGCGCGGGCAGCTTTGCTCCGTGTTCTATGTCCGCCAGAGTATTTTGCTGTTGCTTCATCATATTGCATACCTGGAAACACCACAATTGAGAGTACTGCGAGAAGCGCGTAAATATATTTACACCACATTTGTGTTCTTATTACGCGATAGCTTTGCCTGAGAGATTGCAAAAAGTGATCGATCAAAATGGACGATACATCATAGATTCATTGTTGATGGACCAGTGTCGATAAATTTTTGCCTCAAAAAAAAAAAAAAAATTCCCAGAACTTTTCGGATGACCTGATAAAAATAATCGAGTATGTACATACCGTTTGGTACAATGGATGTCGTGGATTGAGCACCAATTTAGGATGATTACAGACGTTACGCAGATATCGTAACGCCTCAAACACATGGCTGTTCTGAGAATCGTTCGAGGACGAGGATGTGTTCGACATAAACGCGGCCGAGTGACGCGTGCGAAAGTCCTCGTAGAGTATACGCTGCAACGGCGACAGATCGCAGTAGTAATCCTGTGTAATTTTTGGCGGCAGATCTTGCAGCACGTCTTCCTTGTTTCGACGGAGTAAAAATGGCAGCACCTGCGGACAAGATTCCCATCGTGATGCTGTTATATTTTTATGTCGAACAGTGTCTCCGGAGTGGCCGCAATGCTTGTGTGCAGATAGTCGACAAAATGAAGACGTGTTTCTGCCTAAATTTTCAAGTACAACGTCCCTTTAATTAATATCTCGGTAATTCTCGTAGTTTGCAAAATACCAGAGGTCCTTTCTCTTTCGAGTTTGATGAGCTCTACTTGCACGCTAGCGTTGGTGCGCTTAAATATAGACGTATATACATCAAAATTGATATTTACATATGTAAAGCAAAATGTCGACAAGTACAATTGAAGGGGCAATATTCGGCAATACCTGTCTGTGAAGAGCTTCCATGGCTAAAGCGCCGGCCTCTTGTTCCTTCGGCCCTGCCTTGGGTTCCCTGCAGGCCAAGATGGGACGGGAGTATCTCGCAGCGAATTGCTTCTCGCTGCCAAGGAAACCCGGCATCAGGAAATCGAACAGAGACCACAATTCGAGCACATTGTTCTGCACGGGTGTGCCGGACAGTATGAGCCGGTGATTGGCGTGCAGCCGCTTTGCCGCCTTCGCGCTCTTCGTTTTCCCGTTCTTTATTATATGGCCCTCGTCGAGCACACAGTAATTCCACTGACGTCCCTCGAAGAACTCGATCTCCTTCCGCACGATGTCGTAGCTCACGACCACGAGCTTGTATTGCGTGACGAGGGGGCGAAGTCTCTCGCGTTCCTGCGGCGGGCCGGCAAAGTGGATCACCGGCAGATCTCGCGCCTCGAAGAATCTCTCCACTTCGTACACCCAATGGCCGGTGAGTGTCGGCGGGCACACCACCATACTGGGCGGTGCGTCTGCATTGCGGTGGTGATCCAACGCTAATATGCAGAGTGTCTGCAGCGTCTTGCCGAGACCCATGTCGTCGCACAGTACACCGTGAAGGTGATAACGGTTCAAGAAATTCAGCCAGTTCAATCCCTGACGTTGGTAAGAGCGTAACTCCGCGGCTACGGGAACCGGCAGGTCCGTGTCGGGGATGGTTCGCGGATTCAACAATTGTTCCAAGAACAGCCGCTCTTGTCTCTTCTCTTGCCTGCGATATCGTTAGATAAGACGTGAGGACAAATCTGTCCCATTCAATCGGCACATCGTCCCAAGAAATCTCGAAGCTCGCGCGCGGGAACTGGGGAGAATTTCCCGAAAAATGCGACAAACGTATACCGTGAAAAACGATCGATTTACAAGTCGAATGCGATTCGCTTTTCTCCGCACGTCTACCTTCAATCACAGGTGCACGTGCATATCGTTAATATTAATGTTCTTACATCGAGACATCATCATCGGCGGACGTGTTTACTCGAAGTTTGTAGTAAGTGTTTAAAAGATACTTGTTATAAGACGTAAAGTTCGCGTATAAAAATAATACATACGCTAAATCTAGCGGATCAGAGATTGCCCCGGGATCCAACGGTAATAATTGAACAAGCGTGGCGAACGTCGCGCTGCAGATCCATCTCACTGCTTGATTCTGATCGCTCATGCGTCCGAGTAACGGTACCATGAAGAACACGGCGTACGGCACCACCTGCACTCCTAAACTCTCGACAAGACAGGCCAACGCTTCCGCTGCTCCTTGACGTATCGAATCGACTTTGCCCGGTGTCACCACGGAATTCTTCCTCTCGCCGCCGCTCGCATCCAACATCGGTATGACGGAGCGTATTACATGTGTCATCGTCTGAGGAAAATCGTCCCATTATGTCTCTCGGTGCGCTCATCGACATATATATGTGCATTTAACAGAGAAGAAAACAAAACAATTACCGTCTCCGTGTTTAGTTTCGCTAACGTGGCAATGCATCGCGCCGCCATGTGCCTGACCGCTTTGTACGGATGCGCTAGTAAATTACATAAATGTGGCAGACGATCGAGCGCGGGTGGTAAAATCGACTTGTCTAAATTCGGCGCCATGGTTTCTAGGACTTGTAAGCCGAAGATCAATTGATTTCCTTCCTCCTCGGTTATGTTGCTTTGTGCGGTGCAGGTTTTCACGTCTTTCAGCAGGCTCGCCATTATTAAATCCCAAAGATGGGGCAAACGGGACGATAACTCAGAACCGAAGAATTCAGCTGCAAAAATATAACAATATTAAATACGTGTTTGTAACATTAATACATTGGATTGATTTTCATTGATTGTACAAAAGCCTAACTAATAATAGAAATACTAAAAGAACAGTATATAAATATAAATTTTGTATATATATATTTTTTTTCTTATCCCGTTTTACAAGCTCTTTTTATTGACCGTACAAAACAATTTGGTAGATATAATTAATTATATTTTTTACGTTATTTTATATTATCATAGTGCCGATCATCATTATGGCATTCAATATGTTAATGATGCAAACCAATTGTTAGTCAACCTCGATTAAGGACTGTTCGGATTGAATATGCTTGCTTTGTCTCGATTGGTCAAGCTTTCAATCTTCAATCTAGATCTAAGGAAATATCTCTCATGGTACCTATAGTCGTCAATGCAAACGTTGCTCCTCGACGACGCGTTCTAGCAGCTTTAGCTTCCGGTTCCTCGCAAGAGAGCAACTCCTCCAACGGGATTTCAGTCAACGGCGGTCTACCGGGGCCTCTAGCGCTCCCGACTCCGCCGCTTGCGCCGCGATTGTACGCTATTCTCTCAGCGTGCTTTTGTCTGTTGTTCAACGTGAGTATCCCGCTAATTACGTCCGCATCTCCACCGGATGAAACTCGCGGAGTAAACTCCACGTCGGAACATAAAAAGGCACACAGATTGGTGGAAATCTGCAACGGACAAGAGAGACCATCGTTAAGCACTGGTGTATTTTCGACGAGTTAGACTCGTCATGCTAAGTTGCATTTTTTCGAAGTGCAGAATGACGAGCCTGTTCGGTTCAAGGCGCGCTGTTTAGCAAATTCAATTTTGTGCAAATTTATGTGTGTCTGTCTCTACCAGCATAGTTTAAGAAATTAATTTCTGGTGACATCCGGTTAAGTCAAAGTTCACCAAAATATTAATTTTCACCAATAATTTTCTCACGATTAAACGTACTTTACATATAGTTTAAACTATCGTTCTTTACTATAGATTACTCCGTTCAATCGAAAATCTTGAGCCGTTCATATTTTTCGAACGGCAAAAATGGAATGGATTTATTGTGAAACATGTTGAGAACTGTTGTACCACAACTTTTCCTCTTACTTTCACGTTTGGCGACGGCTTTCTATCGACACACGCATCGACTAGACGAGACAGATGCTTCGCGGCTAATTTTTGGAGTTCCTCATTTTCCTCGCGCTTTATGGCTTCCATCAACGGCTTTACCACCGGATTAAGTGGCTGCGGAGACGGCGGTAGGCAATGCAGCATCGTGGCGGCACCGGCGAGGGCAGCCCCCGCCATAACATGCAACACATGTTGTTGCATCAACGTCGTGGACGCTCCGGTCTGCAACGCTTGCCTCCTTTCCTCCAATTCGTCGTGTAACTTGGGTTTTAATTTGATACCTATCGGAGGACCGACACTAAACTGCCCAGTTGGCTTCACATGGCTTTTGGCGCCCATGGCGCAAAGTGTGGAGATCTTTTTTCCAGTGAGCGTCATGATTTGGTCGAGAGTCATTACGCCGGACGAGTCCATTTCGATAGGCACCAGCAGTCCATAATGTTTCAAGGTCGCGATGTAATCCCGACTCTCGTGTAGCAAACGAGTGAAGGCATTCGCTATTTCATCATAGTACACGCACTCGTTCAAGCAAGTCAACAGTCTCTCCCTTGAATAAGAAATGTTTTTCATTAACATCGGGGCCGATATAGAGGTCAAGGTAAATTTAAATATTCGTCACATGCAAATGTAATCAAGTTTCATGCGAAATTTTCATGCGCGCCTTTGTTATTAAAATACCAATTAACACATTTCTCAATAATCCTAAAATTTAATATAATGTCTGCATATTTTTGTGTATACATTAGTCCTTAAAGATGGACATACACACCCGAGAGGTGACAAAATTGAGATTTTTCACATGTTTTTAAAGTATAATGTCTTGAGAATGTTTTCGTGAAATTACAAATCGCACAATCCGGTGGGAAATCATAATTATAGGTTAAGTGGATTGAAATGCGCTAGATAAAGACGTTCGCTCAGATTTAAAGAAGAGTTGTCTTTTCTATTCGTATGCACCAATGAGCATCAGAATTTCCGAATCGTCAATTGTTTTTCCAACACGTGTAGATGGTCAACGTGCGGTTAAAATTGAAAAGAATCCCTAAGGAAATAGTTTTACAGAGCAACTGCCTTAAATAACGACATCATACCTGAGTATCTCCGGTACCATGGGCAGCTGCAGAGGATCTACGTTCGCCCAGTACGACATCGTGAGTCCTATAACGGTACGTTGCAACGCCGACCTCGAATTGAGATGAGCCAGTAATACCTTGGCGTAACAGAGCGTGGGACTAGGTATGTCCGGCGTATAAACAACACCCGGCGCAGGCTGCACTAAGTAGTGGGACAACAATCCTAGCATTCGAGACGCTCTGCAACGAGCCTGCACCACGTTCGCTTTACGCACGTTCTGCGCTACCGTCTCGATCCCTCCGATGTAGATTTTCAGCTCGGACAACGACTTTGCGTTCACGTTGGTGTTACCACCGGTGTTGTCGTTCGAGTCGGACTGCTGGCCGTCGGAGTAGGTGACCGTTTGATTGTATTTCGCGCCCTTAGCATTACTGGCGACTGTCAGCAACAAGCTCGGATTGAACGGTACATATTCCGGCTGCATGGCCAGACAGAGCCACGTGCTGACGAGGGGGCACGCCGCGTGCAGCAGTAATTCGAGATCACTATTTACGACTAGATTTTCCCAGACGCTTTCCGCCACGTCCTGTATCGCGGGTATGTGCTCGATCAACGCGCACTGAAACACATGTCGTAACGCTTCCTGAAGTCCCAACGTACCGTTCTCGCCCCAGCGTTCCTTCTTGTCGTCGGCGCGATCGTCGCCGGTTAACGTTTGCATCGTCTGCAATGTGGCCTTGCGTACGCTTGAACTCGGATGGCTGAGAAACGGCCACAAACGTGGCAATACCTGAACATGCGAGCATTTAATTACGGATCGGACACAAGTTTCTGTCTTGCCATTCTAATTCTTTACAACTTAGGTCATTCGAGCGTTTGGCTAAATATAAAATAAGCCTATAATATATATGCATCATTAATCGACAGTGTATGCGTGGACAAGTGTGAAATATTTCTCGAATGAAAAAAAATATCGCTGGATAACGGTTAAATACCTGCGATAACGGTTGAGGCTTTAAGCAGGCTTGTGCGGTGGGCAACGAGAGTATCGCTGCCAACAGGCCCATAAAACTGTTGCAAGCAGCTGCAAGGTCATCTTGTTCCTTCAATAATCGCCAAAGGCGTACCACGATTGCTTCGAGTTCCGACGGTTTAAACAATCGCGGGAGTGCCGATGCTACCGGTATGAGCGCACTCGCGGCAGCCGCACCGACATCATCCACAGGGTCAGACAGTCCTTGTATAACAGAGGGGAACACCCTCGGCAGCACTTCGTCCAACAAGTCGTCCCGTACGGCAAGTAAATATTTGAGTGCGAGGAGAGCACCGTGCCTGGCCTCCCACTCGTAGTGCTCCAGCAGTTTCATCATTACCGAGAGTATCCCGTGAAAGACGTTAACTGTGCTGTCAACCTGCGATTTAGCGGGCACTAACATCAGAAGCGATCCCAACGCTTGCGCGCACGTTTCTCGCACCGGCGCGACTACTTGATCGGAAACGAAATCTCCGAACCGATCGAGACCCAACACGCATAATAATCGTAAAGCGGCATCGGTTATCCATCTGTGGTGGCTCTCTGTCATTTCCTCCAAAGTCTGATCTCGAGACTTGCCTGCCCCTGAACAACACACACATTTATATTGTTCACAAAAAAGAAATATTGGCGATAAATAAGAAAGCAGCGTGGACAAACGAATGTAGTGCAAAGATAACAACAGTTCAAGGTTTAATTGACAAAATTATTCAAACGTTACGATTGTACGTTTCAACGAATCAAATATCACGAGACAAGAAAGATTTGCACACCTTTTCCATGGAGTCTTATAAGTTCACGTAAAGCTGTCGCTGCTCCATGACGTACTTCCCATTTCTGACTGAACAGGTCCTGACACAGACTCTCTGCGAAAGATTCCAAAGGCCAATCTATGACGGTGTCTGGCCAACATCCAGTTATATCTGGAACGCCGCTCGCTGGCTCGCTGTACGTGCCAGACGATTTAGACCCACTGTCAGACGAGATCACTTCCTCTACTAACATTTTTTTCACTAAAGGCTCCGTAGAATCATCTGGCGACTGGGCGTTCGAGGAGTTCACATGGTCTTCCCGATCGTCGGGCTCGCGTGAACGTTGTTTCGAAACCGACTGGCGTGCCTGTATTATCAAAATACAAGTTCATATTTTTATTGCGAAATTTATTCATATGGGTGTAAAGGACGATCACGTGAATATCTTCAAAGGAAATGCCGAGAATTCTTGCGGTATATACCCACAAAGTGGATACATCTTTCTATTTGAACATATATCGCAAGAATTCTCGACACGCTTTTCCTCGTTTTCGACGTCATCAAACAGTTGCAGCATATATACAGGAGTTTTAACAAGAGCTCAATACCTTGCGCTTTGCTCTGTTCATCTCCCTCCTGCTCAGTCCTTCCGACTGTTTTAAGGTTTCGTCGACAAGCGTCGTAGCAATTTGCTTCGTGCAAGGTGACTGCACCGTTGAGGTGAGTTCCTCGATAGTAAACAAGTCAGCGGTGAAATCCATCAGACGCGGGTGAAAACCTAGCTTCATCGCCAGATTTTCCTTCTGATTGGGAACTGACAGTTGCTCTCCCTCGGCTATAATTAGATCATACTCACTGCCCTCAGACCCAGTGAGATGCGTACTACGAGCTAGAACTTTGCTCACATCAAAGTTCTCCAATTTCAATTTCACGGAGGTCTTGCGTCTTGCCGTATCCGATTCATCTGTCAATTCAAAAGACACACACATTCAGAATTCTCTTGCTCCCTTTCTCTTCCTTAAAAAAAACTTTTAATTATGAGACATATGAGGATGTTACTAGATTTTTTGTTGACAGGATCTGGATTCCAAGGTGGAACTTGGGAAAGTATAGCCTGTACAGCATGAGCAGCAGATATTCTGGTATCCCATTGTGATGATTTTAGTAAGGTAGAAACTCTTGCCAACAGATGGTGTAGATCATGAGGATGCAGTCTCTGTGCCTCTCCCAACTGTTGCGCGGCTGCTCGTTTGGTTGCTATGTTTGTTCCAGTCTCTAACAGTATGAATAATCTATCCAATCTGTAAGCATATAACAAAAAGTGAGTGTATAAACAAATTAGAAGAAACAGGTGTTATTATGTATATAATACAAAAACTACAGTCATAAAATAAAAGAAAAATTAATTAATAAACTAATCATTATTCATGATTCTTGTAAAAAGTGACAACGTTGAAAAAAAACTACACTACACATATGGAAGCATCTACTATTCTGAGTAGCCTATAACCTGATTTTATAAAAATATTTCTCTCATTCGTATGCAAATAATTCCATCAATATTTATGTATTCAAAGCATTGCAAGAAATCTAATATACTAGATTATACCATTTACTAGAAGACAATCATAGAATATATATTAGGGTTATGTATCATTTACTAAAAGACTATTATACTAGAATATATATTAGAGTTATGTAATTTCTTTCATATAAATTTACCTTGATGTCATGATTGTGTATAATATCGTTGGGTAGATCACTTATGAATACCTGAAGTCAAATAATAATAATAAAGTGATTACTATTTGTTATTGTTTGTGTTCTTTACAACTGTTGTCAGAAAGTATACATATGTATAAGTTACGAATTGATACTAACGCTATCGAGTAGTTTTCGGTTGTACTCAAAACATCGATCCTCCAGCTCTGGTATGAAACAAACTGAAGTTACCAACTGTGTAATATCGGTCGAGAACTTAAATCCTACAATTATGCGAATAACCAAATATAACTTATAATATAAAAACAAAAGGGAAACAACATATGGAGCATGTTACATAAACAATAATCCTCATATTGTGGCCTTCAGTACACGATAATACATAACACTGAGAAAATGATAAAACAAATATTGATACTTCCTTCTGGCATCCTGGGAGGTCAATTTGTGAGACATGATCTTCCGTTGAAGTGGAAAAGAGCAATGTCATAGCGACCGATTATCGGGGCAGGAAGGGTAGACTCCGAGCATGGAAGGATGCGAAGATGCGAGAGGATACAAGATGCAAGGAGATGGGGCGGAGACGATAAGAGAGAGAGAGAGAGAGAGATATAAAGAGAGGTCTGGTGAGAACGCGTCTCGAAACCATTGCGCGATATCGCGCGGTGGTACCATCCACGACAGGATGGCGGATATACGCGAACCCCGATTGTGCGCGCTTGTTAAGAGACGCGCGCAAAGTCGCAGAGCGTCGGGCCATGGCGCAATATGGACATAACGAGCCGATCGCCAAGAGTGATACGGGATGACGTGTGTATACCTGTTCTCTTTCTCTCGGGAAGCGTTCTCACTGCCTCGCACCAGCATCAGCCAACCTGCATTGCCGTATCCCAGCGTAGCACGCTCACGAAAGTCACATCACGCCGCGCGTGTCGCAAAACTACGCATACGCTTGTCAAATTTCTCGGAGAGAAACTCATGTTAGAGGCATCAAATTTATACTGACAGCCATATTGCTGGTGAGCCTGAGTTTTGTCCCCTGATTTCGCTCCCATTGGCCGGAGGCGCGCATGTCACACGTCGATCGACCAATTGCCAAGACTCCCCCATTCACGATCTTAAAGATCGCACGCAAGGTGCACGCAGGTTGCGTTCAGAAAATACGACGGTCGGGTAAATATAATTCGTCAATATAATTGGTCTAAATTTAGAGGTCTAACGGTAAAGACTAATAATCAATAACCGCTTACTGATCGCTTGTACTTTTGAACCCGGCCTATGTTAAACTCTATTTAAGTATAAAGAACATTCTAATGGCTCTCGTAGGGTGCGTTCGGGGGGATACTGTTAGTGCTATTTAGCGCTAAAAGCTATTTGCAGAGCTAGTGCTAACAAACAAACGAATGTTTTTGAAAAACATTGACGTTCGCTCGCTGAGGATGCATTCTACAAGTTTGTCAGATCGGCCGTCGGATAGAGAATTTATAGGGTCCTTAACATTTCCTCTAGACATAATATCCTCAATGAGCGAACATCGATGTTTCTCAAACGTTGATAATTTTGTCCATTCCTACAGTGCAAGCTGGTACAACCAGTACTGCAATAGAAAATAGACTCATTCTGTAGGTAGGATCCATTTCATGTTATAAATGCTTCGAGAAGTGCTATATGGAATCATATTCTTTCTTTGGGCATTTCAAAACGTTTTCAGCTTCAAATGGACCATATCCTAGATTCCGTTGCTGGAAAGCGTCCCATTGGTCTGTTCTTTTTAGTTACATTGCTGAACTTCTGTGATAAGTTAGAGCGAGACAAAATATCCTCGTCTTACATATTGGATTAGTACTGGGAAAAGCAGTACGTTCACTGGGTATCATTCGCAAGTTACGTATACGAATAGTTACAAATGACACCAGAATCGAGCCAGAGCAATGCGAAAAGACTACATGTGTGCAGGCCTTTAGTGTATGAGTTCTTTCTTCTCTGTTCCCTTTTCCACAGTATCGCCGGGACTGCAGCAGAAAACATTGGTTCGCTTCACCATTATACTTTGAGACGCGAAGGACATCAGCTGAGGAAAAGTGTATATTGGTAAAATGAATAAAGTAGCTAAAGCTGCAAAATCGGTTTCCCCCGATGGGGAAGCGAGTACATCTCAACCACATGGCAATGTAGCGATGTTCGTTGCGAAACTCTGGGCGATCGTCAACATGCCGGAAACCAACAATCTTATTTGTTGGTCAGCGGTGAGTGCAATTTTATTTTACGACTCGGACTGCGTCCAGCGGCCGATTGTTTAATGCGATGTAGCAAGGTAACGTTGCGCGAATAATCACCTACACGAGCGAAATATTGGCGATCGCGTTCGGGTTTCTTTGGTTGGCGACGAATTTCCGTCGCCGTCGGCATGCAATTACAACCTAAAACAACGAATTATTCACTGCTTTTTCCGCGATCCTAATGGCGCTCTATTGCGACGTTCGCATAAATTACATTTACTATTCGCTACTATCGTAAGGTTCTTACCGTTTTTCAAACTATCTAAATAGGTTGTATGTGTTATCATAGCTTAAAGATCTATTTTTCATTCAAATGAAAGATTGCCTCCTTCGGTTTTCTCAATTTGGTGGTTAAGTGAGCTAAGTAAATCTTATTTACATTCATCACTAAGTAAAGTTAACTATGAATATATATATTTTTTTTAACTTAATAACCATTAAAAGGATCTTATGATCAGTAATAAAACTGTTATAAAATTCATGAATCTGATTGATATATGCTTTTAGGTTCAACCAAGATTAAGATTAAGAATATATGCCAATTAGATTAACGAATTTTATAACAGTTGCAAAACTGCTTTTTTCTGCTGAATGTAGCTAATGATGTTATGAAATATTTTATAATAATTTTCCTATATTTAAAATATAAACTGGCATGAATAAAAAGTTTAATGTGTGAGCTATTGATAATACAATTGGCATATATGTTATATTACTCCCTAGATGGAAAATTACATCATTTGTAGCTTTACACAGGTTGTTTCCAAAAAAGTAGGCTGGCTATGTGTAGCTATGTAAGATATATCAATCTGTCTACTTCTCTTATATTCAACTTGTCATCGCTTGCATCTGTATATTCAGATGTCCCTTGGATACTTCCTCTTCTATTATTCTGATTTTGACGCACAATCTCATTTTCTCCTCCTTTCTGTTGCATTTTTTATTTCTTTTTTTGTTTCTTATTAACCCTTTGCACTCGAGGGCTCCTTGAGTGTAAAGGGTTAACTCTTAATGATCATATGATATACATCACGCATGCGTAAATGCGTGTGTATGTGAGTGCGTAAAGTATAATAATTAACCTGATGTTTTCTAGAGTGGAAAAAGCTTCATAATCAAAGACTCAGCACGGTTTGCGAAAGAATTATTGCCGCATTATTATAAACACAATCACATGGCTAGTTTCGTGCGGCAACTGAATATGTGTAAGTACAAGCAAGTTTTATATAATTCTTCGGAATAGACAGTGTGCGTGTGTCGCAAATCAACATGGACAAAGTTCGTAAGGATGTAGAACGGGTTGAGGTGAACAAAAAAGTTTAAATTAATTCCTCATTAACTATTGTGAATTTTGTAAAATGATACATGACTTTTCTGTTCAGTTCTGCCTGTTCTATCTCAGTATTACCCAATTCCCCCTTCTACATATTGAGAAAAAAAACCAAAATAGATCTTTCACTTTTAAGATGGATTTCACAAGAAAGCATCTGTAGAACAGGGTGGCCTAAAGTGCGATAAGGACGAAATGGAATTTGCGCATCCGCATTTTTGTAAGGGACATAACTATACGTTACCTCAGATCAAGAGAAAGGTATAATAACAACGTGCAGATGTTCTTTCTAGTATTATATATTGTTAAATAAATCTTACATTAATATATTAAATATATTCAACTAGATTGCGCACAACAAAATTCAAAATCAAGATATAAAAGAACCTAGCGCGCCAGATTTAGTGAGTTCAGTGTTAACGGATGTGAAAACTATGCGAGCACGTCAAGACGAGTTTGAGAAATTGTTGAATACAGTGAAACATGAAAATACAACATTGTGGAGAGAATTGATGATACTGAGCCAGAAAAATATGCAACAACATAAATTGATTAATAAACTTATTCACTTCCTCGTTACTCTTGTACAGTCAAGGAGAAATGGTCTAACGGTTAAAAGACGCCTATACCATCCATTGATGATAGACAATTCAAGTCCTCCACGTAGAAAAAGTAAATTGGCAGAGGTGAGATTATTATTGCAACATATCTTGTGTTTAATTTCATATTAATTTCTATAGTTCTAAATATTTATTTTTGTAGCCGCAAACCTCACCCACTGGACCGGTAATTCATGAACTTGATGCATCTGAACCTGGATTGGCCTCTGAATATATCGATAGCGAGTTAGTAAATAGATCTTATTCATGTGCACTGTTTTTTTTTTTTTTTTGAGAAATAATGTTTTAAAAGACGATGGGTAAAGCAGGTCGATTTTCAGTAAAATTTATATATATATAATAAAAAAATACGATGATCGTATATTACACACATATATGTGATGTCAGCATCTCATGAAAATCAGTGTGCCAGATTCATATGTGTCGTGTGGTATGCATGTTAATTCCTTCACAATTTTTCATTCTAGTATGTTGGAAAGTGAAGATCCAGCTGTTCAAAGTCCGGGATCTACCGATGGTTATACTAAATTGGAGGTACCGGTGGACGATGACAGCGAGGAAAGTATTCATCTAATAACACATCCTGAATATTCGGAAGCGAGTGAGATTAAAATACCTGGTCCATCGGACGCGGATGAGATCGAAACGTCTGGTCAATTTGAGGCGGATGAGATCGGAATTTCTGATTCATTGGAGGCGGATGAGATCGAAATGCTTGATTCATCGGAAGTGCATGTAATACAAGAAGTTCTTGACAAAGAAACGTAAGTTTGATCAATTATATTTCCTATTTATTATATGAATTGCATATATGTTCATATATATATCCATATATAATGATAAAATGTATAATTTAAAAAATGCAAATTCTATTAATATTTCATATAAATTAGTTATACAGGGTGTCCCGTTTTAAACGATCACCGTTTTAAATGATGATCATCTCTCAAAATATTATTTTCAATTGTAAAAAAAAAAATACAAAATTGTAATTTGGGTAATTTTAGTGACGGCAGTATCGAAAAATTGACGTTACATCTCCGCGAGTTCTTAACAAAATTAAGAACAATTACAAGCCTGGAATCGTTTCAACATTAGCTGCTTAACAAGAATCTACTATCAAAAATAGAGCATTCTATTTAAGGTGACTTTCTCATAAACTGGAATAATTGATTTTTTCAAAAATTAATTTCACCGTTATTTATCCCCTTACAGACCATACAACTCTTGCCTAAAATATATTTTTCCTCAAATTGAAAATAACTTTTAAATGTAATCGTTTGAAATGAGACATTCTGCGTATATATACAGGGTAAATACGAGTAAGCATCCTAACTTCTTACTATGTGATATTAGTCATCAGCGGCAACTGTAATTGATTTAACAGTGTGAGGATAGCGTGCATTTGCATATATCTACATCTTCACTGTGGGGGATACTCTCATATATAAATACATTATATATAAAGTGTCCGCGTATATACACATTTTTTAACTACGTATATTTTAACCATATATATATATATTTTTTTTATAACATGTTATAACACAAAAACTACTTAACTATATACTATTGAACACAACAAGAATTTGTGAAGTGTTAGGTGTGTGCAAATGTTGTAGTCTTTATATAGGAGTTGTTCAAAAAATACATGACCATGTAATATAGAGATGTCGCAAATTCTATCATATTTTCAGTATCACATTTTAGAATCTTCCTTTATTAGGTTAAATATGATAGTATAGTGCGATCTATCGGTTAGTCTTTGTTGTGTGTCGAAATAAACGTTACGAGTGATCTTATAAAGAATGGAAAAAACTGAGTTGTGGGCAGTGATAAAGTATTTTCATTTAAAAGACTCGACTCCAACCGAAATCAAAGCAGAGTTGGATTCGATACTTTTGGAGTTTGCTCTTTTATTTTCAATAGTTAAGAACTGAATTGCCAAGTTTAAGTACAGTTGTGTAACTGCGCAGTGGACGTGTAACAACGGTTACTACCGGAGAAATGATTAAAAATGTCTACCGTATCGTGATGGTTACTTGTCTCATATGCAAATATTCTGAAAAATTGAAATGACAAAATATTAATCAAAATTCCGTAGATTTTAGCGATATACAGTATTTTGACGTCAAAATTATTCAGATTCTTCATTAAGTTTTATACAACTTCAATAGTTATATTTCAATTATTTATCATACAACCTGTATTTAAATATCAGCAGATGGAAAACCAAGGTACCTGTAAAAATTTTGATCCCGCCGTTGGAAAATGGAGAAAAACCTAGGTTCGATTTGACATCATTCCGTTATTTTTCTTTGGTGTTGGTACTTTTAAAATACAGTGGGCAGAAATTATATTTGCACGGCTCATCTCTTTTGATAATATTAGAATCATAGTAAAAAAGAAAGCCGTTGCTAGAGTGCGCTTTTATCATGATAAACATGAAATATTTACTCTAAAGTAAATGATACATGCAAATATTTCTCACCCACTACAGTCGTTTGCAGAACATGTTTTCTTTTCGGTTCACTTCAGAACACAGCCGAAGTCTAATAGAAGAATTTGCTTTTGAATCATTTTCATAGGATAGCTACTCTCAATAGACGAAGTCTAATGGAAAGTGTCTCGAAATGTATAGAAAAAGTATCCGCTCTGCAATCGAGTGTCTGTAATTATTTTGTTACGTAGAGGTATTATAAACTTACGTTATTATTTTGCATGAAGCATCAAATTTATTTGCAAGTATAGGGGTATAACTTACTTCTCATTCAAGAAAGACTCATTTTTCTCACTTTTTTCTTACTAGACTTGAGCTCTTGCAAAAATAAAAAATCGATTACAAGAAATCATGTTCAATAACTAGCTTCTTCGTATAGACGAAAAAAAGATTCAAAGAAAATAAAAAATACTCCGACGACACAATATTAATAAAATGAAGAATTTTTATTTTATTTTTAAAATTTTATCAGGTATTTGTATCAGGTTTAGACAATGACCGACCCGAACACAACTGTTTCTTTCAAATTATGTAGGGAAATTTATTGTTTACAATTTGTTCACGTTTGTCCATCCAAGTTCTTGTTTGTCCACCATGCCAAAACGAGTTATCAACAAACAAATCACGTAATTTTTTGTTTCTCATCATTCAAATTGTGCTTTTCATTAACTTTCACTATAAAGTCGGTATTTTTAATCTTTTAAAGAAATTGTATAATAGATAGACAATTTAATTTTTGACGTACAAATTATTTCGAAAAGACTCATATTTACTCATTTTTTTTAACTGGCTCGCTATTTTCTCACTTTTCCATGAATAAAACTTATTTTTCTCACTATTTCTAACAACTAAAAATAAAAAAAAGAAAAAAATGTCCTTAAGTGAACGCGTTAACTGCGAATGAAAGGGACGAATGTTATATTCTGTTGTCACATAATTTTTACCTTTTATGTTTACTCTCTGCATAATATCGGCTCACATTAAATATAATTATATTTACTTGATAGCAGCAATATTTTCTGTTGTTATTAATTTGATACCGTGAATTAAGAATATTTGCATGAATATGTATTTTATTTTATACAGGATGTCCTAGAGAGAAATGTCAATATTCTGGGAAGTTATAGTATATAGTTATAGTATCGGTCATTTTAAGCAAAAATGTTCATATGAGCGTTTAGAAATTAGTTGATGCTTATTTGCTATGTACCATTTTGTAGAATCCGCAATAATTAATGAAGAATTAATCGTTCATCGTTCATCGTTTTGCAAACAACATGCAAATTTTTGATTTATTGGTTAAAGAAGCCTCTATACATTCCCATTTTCAGTAATTAATAACTCAAAATTTTGCGTTTGCAAAATGATGGAGAATTTTTCTTTTGTTCATCTCAATTCGTTCTACGCCCTCACAAAGTTTGTTCCTGTTGATCTGGGCCACCCTGTATACATGGTAGATTTTGTTTACATATGATAGATTTTTCCTCGTACTTCTATTGTATTATTTATCTTGATTTGTCATATTAACCTTTTGTAAATGATTGTTGTTTACTGACGTAGTTTATTGATTATGGTTGTTGAGACATAAGACAGATTCCAATCACAATAGTTGATAACTGTTGCTTGTGTCGAAAATATAAACCGAAGAAACGCAAAAGACGCATATGTGCACCCACAGTCGATGCAGTCAATAGCACCTGTCGGACTGCATATATGCGCCCACACATACAAGAGGTTAATGAAGTTGGATGAAAAAGATTCTGAATGATATTGTAATATAAGAAGTGTGTATTGGCATTGATTTATCCTCACTTGTAGGGAAGAGTTACATTTGCTCGAAATGCCGGTCAGCGAGGAGACACCGATGAATGTCGCTATATTGAACGATGAGACCATCGGATCCAAGCCAGTACCCGTGGCAACGGTTCGCAGCTCTAAACTTATGGCAATGGCAGCTAACATGAAAAACTGTCAACAAAACATTGATCAGGAAATAGATATGGAACCCTCAGTAGATGTGGATGTGGATGATGATACTTCGGACAATGATACTTTTAATTCAGGAAATTTTGGAGATGCTCTAATACAGGTTCCGGACGTGTGCAACAACCATAAGACACGAAATAATGTCAGTAACAGAATAAATGTCGGTCGCAGGCCCAGTAAAATAAACGAGAGTTCCAGTCATATTTATAATGGTAAAAGTGTTTTGAAGAGTAATAGCAATCGAAACCGCTACAAGGAAAACGCAGCAGTAAAATCCCCGCGCGAAGAGAATGACAGTTGCAACGTGGCGAGTACGTCTAAGGATTTGTCATTAAGCTGTGTCAATTCGTCAGGTGTGGCTGAAACTAATTACAGGTTAGAATAGATGTAAACTTACGCGACTATAGATAATGGTAGTGGGACGATCTGCGAGGATAGAGAAGTATCTTGCGTAAATAGTAAAAGACATTTTATTCACATTGACCTAAAGTACATGACGGATATCGTAGCGACATATGAAATCCTCATATTTCAATAATTATTTATATAGAGATACATTGTGCAGTTATTTGGAAACGATGGAAAATAATTTGGAAGGCTTCCGTGAGAGGTTAAACGGTGATGGTTACAGCATTGATGCTAATACTATTCTTGAGGTAAATATTAGTACTGTAATTAATATAAATAATTTAAGATAATCTTTTTTTAATTTTAGTTGTTATGAAAGTCTTAAAATTCGCGAAAATAATTGAATAGATAGGGGTAAATTTAAAAATTTGATATTTTCACAAAACTCTGAATATATCATTGTGTAAACAGTATAAAATACCATAAAACTTTGTATAAAAATGATGTTTCTATACAATTCATGAGTTCAATGATATTTGCTAAAAATGGAATTTCCTCTTGTTTCTGGAGAAATAAGCACTTATAAAATAGTAAAAATTTGATATTTTTGGCCGCTTTGCAACATATCCAAAGCTTATTAAAATCGATGAGAGGCATTTTCCCGTATTTTTGCTTGTAATATCAATTTCTTTCTTGCAGTTGCTCAATTCCGACGATGCCATATCATTTGCAATACCGGATTTACCACCTGATTTGCCGTCGGAGTTACTACTTAATTCGGAATTGAATCCAGAAGAGAATTGCAAGAAAGTGGAGGAGAATCATATCCAAAGTAAGTTGACTTAATTTTTATTAATTAGAATTTGAGTTTTGAACTTTTTAATTTTTTCATCCAATTGAATAAATATAATGAAACACTACACGGGTTGAATGGAAGTGACTCTGATTGTGTAGATCCAGAATCATTAAGCGGATTGAATCGTGGAGAACTTATGACATATAATTCATCAAACGTTCTTGATTTGGATGACATCTTTTTGAATGGAAATCCGTCATCTTCGTTGGCAACGCCTGAAACGACAAATGTAACTGCAGACTTGACGTTCGATCCTGATTCTTTAAATGAAGAGGATGATAAAATTCCACTTTTCAATCTCGATAATTTCCAAAATAATGATATGGACTCCAGGTTATAAGTTTCGCTATTCTTGGTAAATTTCTACTTTCTCACAACTGAAAAGTAGAATTAAATACGTATTATACGGCAATACATCATCGACATTTGGACGAAGCATTTTATGAGAGGGAGATCTAATTAGTCGTAAAGGGAAATCGCGGCACTTCACATAGTTACACCGTCGCTTCTTTAAATATATATTCGGCTTTATACTGTTATATAATTTGCTGAAAACGTGAAGTTTACAATTACTTGTGGACCGAATGACTAAAATACTATAATTTTCCCTTTGCTTTAAGCTAACGGACGTAGAATGAACTCAGTAGAGCGTTGTGATTATAAATCTGGCTTTAGGAAGCTAGAGAAGTACAAAATTTATAACGGAGCCATTTTCCAATAGCGCGTGAACTGTCTAATCTTTGCCTATTCTATGTGCAAAAATATAAGCATATGGGCACGTAGAGAATTGTGATCAGCGGTTACGATATCATGCAATACTGAACAGTTATTAGTAAACGTATGCGAAATAGCACTCTAAAAGCATTGAAGTAGTGTGAGACTAACGAACAGTGATGTGGACAGGACTCTAGGGCTGATAAAAATATCTGGAGATGAGAAAGAACTTCTAAATGAGGGAAGTCTTATAGATGGAAAATTTGTAACGAGGCTCTACTTATAGTCAATGTGGTTTGTCGAAATCATCAGTATTGCAGGATTTGATTGATAGTACAGTTCAGTTTAGATATTCATATGTCGATGGCAACACGTAATTTGAATTACTTAGTTTATATCTATTATATCGATAGCTCACAGAAGTGATTCCTCGTATTTACGAAATCGGAGGTTTTCAGAAAGAACAAAAGATCTGATACGTAAGAATCGTTTGATGATAGGATTGAAATAAAAAACTCATTTTGTTTTAAGAGAGAGAGAGAGGGAGAGAAACAACAAATTTCTTCTCTATTCTTTAGTTATTTTTCATTTCCGATTTTTTTTTACAATAAAGGTAAAATATTTTTAACAAGTCGAAAAATTTTTAATTGAACTAAAAATACGCAAATAACCGTTTTTGCAGATACGAGATATCACTATTTAGCCATCGATATATAGTAAAATATGCTACGGAACTGACGACTAATGTTTTATAAAAAAGTCTTAACAAATTTGCTGAGCGAAATTAAATAATATAAATTAGATATTAAATAGATATCTAAATAAAAGAGAATTTACACGAAATTATGCGAATTAAAAGTAATATAAAACCATAAAAATCGTCATTCTCGTTTGGCTGTATATAAAATTGCATATTCTATAAAAAAAATGTACAATATATAACAAAAATGTTGGTAAACTAATTGAAATTTAATTTAAAGTTCAATTAAAAAAAATTTATAAAATTGTCCGTAAAATGTATCAACGTATAATATTAAGATGCAAAAATTTCTGTACAATATATTTTAAGGCTCCTGAGCCATCTTAATTCATGACATCAGAAATAAGAAAAGCATGCCAAAATTTCTTGTAAAATAACATTGCAATAACAAGATATATTCATAAAATGGCATTTATAATCGATCGAGCAGATCTGTAATATAGCCCGAAAACTTTTTTTTACTGTAACAATCATTAAATAACCATAAAATGAATGTGATAGAATTATGATAATAGATTAAAAAAGAAGTAGGCTATATGTAATATCAATCTCTTTGTTTACATTCTCGCTTTCGATGTCATTAATTAAGAAAACCGTAGCGAAGAACCAGGAGCCTTAAAAGGAAATCCTTTATCAAAAATTAAACCTTTTTTATTCTTTTACTGCTAATTATCTCACTATAGTACAAGATAAAACGTAAAAAGTGATAGTACAAGTTAAGGTTTCAGTATTTTATATACAATAGAAGTGCTTCCTTCCCCCCTCTCTCTCTCTCTCTCTCTCTCTCTCTCTCTCGTAATCTCGAGAAATGTTTAATAGAAGCTATTATCTCTTGAGAAACCAATGATAAGAATGATCGACAAGTGTTGTTTATTATTCGTTATGTGGACCTCAGGAAATTAATTTTCTAAGATTAATATTTAAGTATATAAGATTATACTGACCGTTATTGATATCAACATATTGACTTGATTGTTATTCTGTTCACCAAAACCTGTTTGTGAATGGATAATGCTATTATGCGCGTTGAGCGGCGAAGTAGCAGAAAAGCAAATGCAGTTGCTTAAAATACAGAAACCTTAATCTTGAACCTCTATTGATAAGTTAATGAGTTGCCCTTTCATACATTAGAATGTATGAATCTACTCAGCACGAATGCGGTGAGTTGCCTCAGTGTTCGCACTTGTTTGATACATCTGCGACTTGCACAGGTCAGGGAACTCGAGTGCACGTTAGATTAGACAGCGATCAACTATTATTATATCTATTATTTTATTGTATCTTATAATGACGTTTTATTTGAATCTTCAGAAATAAGTAGCTAAGTTTTTGTATTCATCGGTGAAAGCAATATTTACGTAATATGTATTATTTAAAAATTAATGTAAAATCTATCATGTAACACATCCTTGGGTCACATACAGTCGGCAGATTCAAATATCTAGTGTCCAATGGGAAAATATATCTCCTGAGAATTATTGAGAAACAAATTCTCTTATTGGACACGGAATGCTTTGCCTGCATAAATTAGTCTTTAGATTTTACTATTTGTAAAGCTTTAAGCATAACATCGATATAATGTAAAAAAAAGGGGAAGGAATTATTATCGTAGAGTTTTCGGCAATGCGAGGAAATTTATTTCGGAAGAATTGCTATCGCATATGATAAATATTTATTGTTAAAATGATTATTATCGGCGGTCATTCTCACATGTATTTTTGTATTATGTAAAATAGTGTTTGCTGACCGTTTACATTAATGTCGAATTTATGTTCGGTAAAAGATTTCGAGCGTGCGTATCCGCAACAATTATGTAATAATTAATATCGCATTCTGTCTGAGATATCAAATTCCGATGCACTTGTATTTGTAATCGTTACTTGATACTTTTGTCTCACGCGATACTCAAATCGAGGCTCTCTTGGCTGAGATTTGTCCTAAAACGTGATATAGTTCAGCCAACATCGCGATTGTAGATCGCTGATGTTTCTCGTCTTTTCCTCATACCGATTATTTAGCGTGCGTAGCAACTGTTCATTTCATACCAAATTATCTTTATTTTGGTATATTAGATTTGTATGATACGTCTTGCGTGTCGTAAGCTTAACAATACAGTCAGTGGATAAAAGGAGAATTCATCTTTCGGTAATTCTCAGTAGATACAATTTTCTTGTTAAATGCGGGATATATGCTGTGGAACTTGTCGGGGTGAAAGTGTTGCGACCTTTCATCCGCTGATTGTATATTATTCTTTTAATGTATAAAAAGTAAGGTAATTTGTAAACAAATACAATAAGGCGTTAAACATGAAATTGGCTCAAGATAAATCTATTGAATTGTACACAAAATTGTGGACAAAAAATTGCAACATTTTTAAATTAATTTCGCAGCGCATCCCGTCTAGTAGGAAATTATTCTTTTTTAGTAACTTCCGGAAAATGCATTTTTCTAGTAAATACGGAATGTGGTGCGGAATTTTCATCTACTGGCTACCAGATCGTGGGATTTCTGGGTCGTGATTCACGTGGTGGACAGTTTATATAATGCAACGTGAATATAAAACCTGTGGCACACGATGCTTATATTTGTACTGGATTGCTTGTGTTCTAGAAATACTGCGTTCTGATTGGTGCAAAAGTGAATTCTCGTTTAATCGGATGTTTCTGCCTGCGATGAAAATATAGTATATCTCACATGAAATTGTTCGACAAGCAATTTCATGTCGTATTCATTCACATGATATTCAAATAATACAAGTAGTGAGAAAAGTCGACGAAGACACATAGGTTGTTTTCCAGTAGGGATGTAAAATCATCGATGTTTACTCATTGAAGATGCGTCGATACGAATTTGTCGGATGTGCCGATTGATTGTCGGATAGAGAATTTCTAGAGTCCCTAATATTTTCTCTAGATATAATACTATTTTCAATGAGCGAACATCGATATTTGAAAATCATCGATGATTTTGTCCATCCCTACGTAGCCAATGTGTATAATTTCTGATAAAAAGCCGAAGATTGTAATAACCCTTAAAATCTTAGGAATTGCGATGTCTGACGACGCTGAAAACGCTTTTTATTAGAAATTACGTTACAATTTAATGTTTAAAATAAAACATTAAAGGGTTATTATGTTTATTATAAATCTGTACTAAGATTTAAATGTTTTCTTTTTGTTTTCTCTCGAGACAGCTTGGAAAACGATGTCCAATGTGACTTGGTTTTAGAATTATTCCCAAAAGATAAATCATTTTTATTGGACATCGTTCCGGATTACATTGAGAAAAACGGCCAAACCGTAATAACAAATATAAAATTAAATATGATATATTTCTTTTTCTTTCTTTCTTTCTTTCAGGGATAAGTAATTAGGGGCCAGTAGTTGAGCTGATAATTTAAATTTTCACTCACCGGTGTTACGCGTTTGATATCTAGTAATGTCAAGAAGTGCACATCATTTAATCCACTTGAGTAATCAATGATAACGTAACAGATATCCTATTTTGCAGATCTACGATATGTACAGAAATGTTTATACCAGTTTCTTGATTCGTGCATCTGTCAATAATAATTTAAAACAATTAAATCCATTGTAAATGTAGTTGAAATTAGCGGAACAAAAATACTTTTGCTACCACCGACAATTATGTTAAATTTGTTTGTTTACTGTGTCTAAAAAATAAAATTTATGTAACTGTTCATGTATATTCATCATATTTGTTATAATAATAATAATATCCTCTTGTGTTTGATACATTTTATTTTTTTTTTTCTTATCAGGAATGTGCTTTGGAAGTTTTACATATAACATTCATATATACAATAATCGAATTTTCGTCATAATCATATAATAATATTGATCGCACATACATGAAATATTTTTTTTTTATGATTGGAATCAACAGTGCTTAGATATTTCTAACGATAAACATATTTCTAGACAACAAATTAACAAAATATATGGTATTCTAAATACAAGGTCGGTATCAGTTTGTTTGTTGCCTCTCCACTTCATATTGTTCCAGCGATTCTCGAAATTGTTTCCTAGCTTCGCGATTAGATTGCAATAGATCAATCAGCTCTGCTCTTATGTTATCATTTTTCTTTTCTAAATGATCTAAGGCAATTTGCAGATAGTCCAATTGGTCCTCTAATGCTTTAATATCCATAGCACCTGTAACATAATGTATATATATGTTTAGGATTATAAAATTAATTTGTTTCAGTTTTTCATAATACACACACACACACACACACACATATATACATGCACACACGCGCATACTACTGCTTCTTGTTTATAATCATTTAGTGCTTACAATTGTTTAATATCACGACTTTGAAATAATGATATGATGGATTATCCATCCTATGTATATTAAATAATTTGCTGAAAAACAAACTGTGCTTGGCAATTGTTACTCTGTTTCCTTCCTTGTCATTTTTATGTACTTTGATGAAATCCCTAAATCTCTAATCCTTAAGTATGATTAAAAACCCCATAATATATGTAATAATTCGCTTTCAAATCTCAAATTGTCACGTCTTCGAAAATATTTACTTAAAGTCATGTGCTTACTGATATCGTCCGAAAATACATCATACTCAAGGGATCTCCCAATGCCGTTAGAATAATCTTCATCCTCACCAACATCCATTTGCTCATTGACATTGTTCTGATTATTTTCCTGCGTCTGTACTATTTCTTGGACCATTTCTTCCTCTTTTACCTCTTCTTCTGGAGCAGGATACTCGTCCCTAACCATGGTTATGTTTGCAACGATGGCGACTCGTAGCGGAAATTTTGGAACTACACCTTAAAATAACTCTCTCTCTCTCTCTCTCTCTTTCTTTCTCTTTCAGTTTTGGTAACAAGCAGCCGACACTTACCACTATGGAACAAACCCCAATACCACTAAAATTGTCTAGAGGGGAATAAATGCGTTCCGCCGAGGTAGAACGACTTTAACGAAAAATATGTGATACGAGGAACAAAGGCCGCGCGAGAACGCGCTCAAAGCACATCCGGACCGATCGGCTATTCTCGCGAAACTTCCGTAAAATAACAGTCCAACTTGTTAAACCCGGTAAAACTTAAGCCGGCGGTACACTGTTCGATTGTTTGCTGTATAGAAATATATTATGTTCTGATTGGTGCATTTCTATCCATTTTCGCAAATGCACTAATCAGAACGCAGTATTTTCATCTAGCAAGTTTTCCATGTTTTTCAAACAGCAATGATTTTGCCCATCCCTAGATGCGTTGTATGACGAGTATTGTCGGACGTGCCGATGGCTGCCGGATAGAGAATTTCTAGTGTCCCTAACGTTTTAAGCTGATGGCAGAGAATTAAACATGAGCGCTTATGTCCTTAACTATGACCGACATAAGCGCTTACGTCTGATTATTTGCTATCAGCCTGTAATACTGCAATTTGTATAATGTGTTGCGTATCTCTGTAAGATTTTACAAAATCCATACAGTAACGTTTAGTTAAAATGACATACTTTATGAAAAAAATATGATCATCATTAGATGTGAAACAAAGATATTTATTTTGCGAGACGAAAAACGGCAAATTTCAAGCCAGGTGGGAAATAATTGAAAAAATCATAAAATATTTCGAAAAAATATTTCTTTATTTATCCATTTTTTCGCAGAATCGGAAGCCCCTACCAGCGAGAGTCCAATAATACTTACACTTGAAATTTTTGACATAGGCATGAATGATCCATGTGTAGGATTCTAGGGTTAATCCAGGCGTCGGGTTTTATAAACACGAGTTATAAATTTAGACGACAATCTTGGAGTCCTGGTGAGATTTGGGTGATTAAAATCGACGTGGAAAAGACCAAATTGAAATCTGGAAGACACAAATATTATAATTCCTTGTTATCCAGAAGTAAATTCTATATAATATTATATCTGAATACAGATTACATTTGAACAATCCAATGAACTTACTGTGTACCAAATTGTAGCTCGAAGTTATCCATCAACGACCACAATATGTAACCTCGAATATCGACACCATTCTGTATGGCTTTTAACACTTCTGCGAGATGCCCTCGCAGGTATGTCACCTTAGCTTTGTCCTCTAAAGCGGATTCAGAAAAACCATTTTCGGTAATATAAATCGTGGGATGATAATCCTCGTTTATACGCTGTAATACTTTCCCAAACATTAATGGTGCGTCCTAAATGAGAAAATTGTATCATTCACATTCGCAAATTATACTTTCCTAGTAATAATTTCGACTTCAAAAGGTTCACGATAGACTAACAGTTATTTAAAAAAGGCAACTGCTAAACAAATAGTAAATTTAAGTAGAATGCAGCGGAAGAGAATTTATTGATATAAAGTAAAATAAAAGTCTTCAAATCTTAATAAAGTAAATGTTAAGAGGAAGAGCAATAAAAAATAATAATTGCATTATACCCTCAATTGTGTTTCTTCTGTTAATATGACCCCGGGGTCGAAGTCGAAACCCACATCTTTAATATCGATGTCAGTCATTGTTGTTACATGTTCGTACGTATAATAATTAATCCCAAGGAAATCTGAAGCACCACGCAAATTGCGAATCTGCTCCTTCG